AGCTATTTACAAAATATTAAGAACGTAGTAATATAACCTGAACCCCATTTCTTATCCTAGTATCATCCTTTCTTCATTCTTATCTTAATAAATAATTGAAATTATACTGGCTCATATATAGATATCTTAGTATAACTTGTCTCATGATTGACTATTTTCACCTCCTACAAATGATCTCGCTGGTCAATTAACATGAACATGGTCATCTGATAGTTTATATCTAAATTTTGAAGAACCTCAATTTATGTTGTAATGATTTTACTTAGTTCTGTTGCTTGTTACAGCTGTTTAATAACCTTAGTTAAACTTTGCAGATCATACTAGTTTCAGTGATTGGAGAATTTCTTGATCGAGATCATGAACCGATTGATGTTAGGCTACCATTGAAAACCTGAAAACACTGGACGGCCGTTTCGTCCTATTGTAGGACTCATTGTTTTTATCAGTACACGATTGTACACAATTTAATTACAATAAATATAGAACTTAGATGACATTGTGAAGGAGTTCGAAAATGAGCTATATTGTGTTGTGTTATTGAAAGTTGGCGGGACTATAATTTATGGACGAACCAATCAGATATGAGATAACAGGTTTTGGCGTGAGCTTCATTCAACCATTTAGTTAAATAGCGTTTTGGCATTATAGCTGATGTCAGTTCATGATGAAAACCGTAAATGTAATTCGTAGCCCTTAACCATCAACTGTAAATCATAATTCTAATTACTCACACTGGTTTATAATCTTCATTTGGTCCTAGTTATCAGGTGGACACTCTCAAGGTCACTGTGGCGTCGGTCAAAAGTCGTCAATAAATGAAAAATCTATTCATTGGAAAGTCGATTAAAACGAAGGCAACTCATTGTTTGGTATAGAGGAACGTGACTATTGATACTTGGAAAATCCCATTAGGATGATAAGATTGATTTCCCACATTAACAATAACTCTATCATTAATGAGAATCTTATCATCATATTCATTGATGCAAACCTTTTTACTTGTCGCTTAAGTTTGTTTGCTGAAGTGGTCGGACAATAATAATTCTAAAACGATCTCATTATTTGAAAAGGTAAGTTAAAAATGTATAAATGGTTTGTTTACTGAAGTCTTCAGTAAATTATGATTGTCTAGCCTTTATGCTTTACCAAGATAACAAATGTACATTGGAATGCTATTGGTAACAGACTGTAGCATATTCATGAACACAAATAAATTCACTTGGATCTTCCTATTGATGTTTAGGACTGCAGTTGATCAGTCTCTTATTGGCATATGTGCATACTGTGCGTATTGCCTTAATTCACAAGCATTATAAGCAAAGATGAACATCAACACTGGAATGCAGGTACATTCAGTTGACGAGTCCCAAATAGGACAAAACGTGCATCCTGGATTCCACAGCTAGCCACTATCCATCTTTGCTTATAACTAATCCAAATTAGGGATGGTGTGAGACAGATAAATTTAATGTAGTAGAATATGAACTCCGTTAATTTCGTAAACTGTTGTATACATAGAACTTCATTAATTTACGGCAAACGGTTAAAACTTCCATGTAGTTAATTTCAGTTTAATAAATGGGATGTAAGGTATGATGATAAAATTAGTTTCACTATGATGAGTATGAGAACATCAGCTGGATGACAAAAACATTCTGAAATAAACCATTTCAAATCGAATTAAGTTTTACAACTGTTGCACAAGTGTATGGGTATCTGAGCTCAGCAACTAAGTGAATAAAGCGATGGCGTCTGAAGTGAACAGTACTAGGTCCGAGTTCAGGAGTGAACATTAACTTTCAGTTGGAAATACATCCATATGACAAGTCCCGAAGAGAAGGAAATGCGTATCCTGGATTCCAGCATCGATAGCATAATTTTAAACATTCCTCAAAAGTTCAACAGACTACAGAAACATCGCTGATATGATGACACACGGTTCGGTTACCATAGATGAGGTAATCATAGAAGTTTATACGAATTCTCATCAACTATTGCATCATGCACAAAGTTGTTAAAATAATATATTATAACTAATCTCAAATCAGAAAGTAAGGCCCAGGATAATGGGTTTTAGAACGCTCGTTGGCGGCCTATGCTCCATTGAGAGTAACAGGCAAAAGTAAGTAAGTAATTTTAAATTAAACGATAAAAGTTACAATCGGATATCTCATAGGTTTAATATGCACTAGAAACTTCAACAGATGAACAGAAGTTTGTTAATTAAAACGATTTGCCGTATAGTTTTGAAGATACTCGTAAGCTACTAGTATTTGACCACAGATGTCATAGAAATATTGGTGGCATCTTCTGGGATGACAATGTAAGTAATAGTGAGGTTAGACGTAGGGTATTAGGGAATGATAGTAAATCAGTTGATGAGGTTGTGAATCTTCATCGACTGAGATGGTTGGGCCGTGTTACGTATGCCTGAACACCGACTACCACGACGTGCAATGCTAACCGGTGTTGGAGATGGTTGGAAGAAAGTTAGGGGCGGCCAAACTAAAACGTCGCATCAGTGCTTGAAGTCACTGACTTCTACTCTGAGCCATGTTGGTAAATGCGGATTACTTGGTTGGGGTCCGTGTGACTATCGTAACCAATGGTTGCAGACTGTGGGTGACATGGCTCAGAATCAATCACAATGGCGTCGGTGTATACACTCTCTGTCTTCCCTTAAACCATGAGATTAAAATCGCTTCATATCTTTCTTTCTACGAACTAATTCTTTCTTCATGTATCATATTCTTGTTACAATCTTTCTTTTGCATATTACCATCATTGAATTAACTACTTTTATGAATCCGGTGTTCATCTTGTTGTGTTAATGAGTTATGACAACTTGGACCGATGCATATATGTGCCTGGTCCTACGTTGTAGTTGACTGACTGACTCCATGTTTAAAACCATTAAGCAAGTTAGCACTCATCTGGGAAGCTGTCGAATGAACTAACGAAACTTATTTGAGATTAATGATATTACGAATTTTCACAGAAACATTCAATCTGAAAGTGTGCGAGCTTTTACTAGGTGAGACGTAATTCAGAAGTGTATGTTCTGTTTTCGAACCTAGTTGAGTATCTACACTAATATTATCACAAGTATTTGTGTTATCAAAACATTTAATAAGGATAAGTGAAGTAAGCTTAATATGATTGTCAGCCTGATCTACTAGAGAGGGACACGATCCTAAGTTTCGCTAAACAGGTTTAATATTAAATAGAATCTCGTAATCGATTGAAAGAAGATTCCTGAAAATTAGAGTTAAAATTTAATAGGCATCGGGAGTACATGGACGAATATCTAAGAGATACGAAATGAGATTAATGGTGGTTTCAATAAGATAACCTGATTGATATTCAGGTGACTGACACTTCTTAGATCCTCACGAAGTAGCAATCTGAATTTGTATTAATCATACCATTACTCTAAAGGTATTATCATTAGATGGTGGTTGGAGGTAGTCGACAGAAAACCCTGAACCCGGGTTTCGTGCTACTTGGCACTCGTCAGCAAGGTGTACCTTTAATCTTGAGGGGGCTGGTGCTCCCTGGCGGATTCGATCTCGCGTCACCCAGCTTCACAGTCAGAGACACTACCACTGAGCTATCCTATCGACTACCTCCAACCACCATCTAACCTCAATATATAGTGCCCGTAGTGTCGAGTCACCTAGACTGGTGGCCACATTGCAACATGATCGATAGCATTCGATCTGCACTAAATAAGGACTTAACATACATGACACTGATCACCACCCAGTGATCAATCAATTGTGGTATTATCATTACATAGTATAGAGAACAACTGGTTAAGGATGGTAAAACACTGTGTTTTTTCTAGTAACTATATTTAATTCTTAGTCTTGGATGTAGACTTTTTAAGCAGTATCATCGACATAAGAAGTTCTCAGAGTAGTTACATGTAATATATCTAAAGTTGCTTATATGTGTGAAGTACTTTACTGTAGTAGTTATTCGTCCTTGAACATGAAATCAAGCTGACTGCAATCTGATTGCATTTCAGCTAACTTATATATTATAAGATGTCAACGAACAAGTGATCCGATAAAAATAATATGATCCGCTAATCCTATCAAAGAAGACCAATGAGACTTTTAAAACATTAGAGGATACTTCATGTGAGGACGGTCCACCAGTGAAATAGAGGAAGCTCTAAGAAGCTGAGAAACAGTCGAAGATATCCCATCTAATCATGTTTTGGAAGAATATTCCAAAATCCTTACGTGTAGCTTCCTTTTAAGTTGGCAAAAGCTGGAGACAATGACCAGGTGAAACATACTGGTATAATAAATCATCAGTGTGAGCGTTTCAAATGATCACCAATGACAGAAGATCAGTTTAAATGTCTTGTTTTCTATACAACTTGCAGTCACCTGAAGATGCCGACATCAGAACCAGAATTCTCAATAAAATTAAACAATGTCCAAATATAACGCTACAAGAAGTGAATTTAAAACATGACACTACTATGATTAAAAACAGTGACGATGGGTTGAAAAAAAAAACACAACCAAAGTCAACCAGTAACTGGACGAGAATCACTGTGTAATTATTCCGAACAATCAGCATACAGAATTGTCGTCGTCGTCATCATCGTCATCGTGTTTCGAGATTACTACCAGAGCTTAAGAGCTGAATCTAACGTTCAATCAAAAGACATATCACTTCATGATCCATTTATATGTGAATCATTAGATCATTGACATTAAAATAAATGGATACTTATCTTGTCCAAAAAAGAAAGAAAGAAAGAAAATGACAGAGATCATAATGTACACATATCAATAAAAGACACATTGAACAAAAGAAGTTATAAAGTAAACATTACCATCTATATGCACATACATACACACGCACACACACAGAAAGAGAGGGAGGGAGGGAAGGAGAGAAAGTGGTGATGGTGGTTATGGTGATGAGGGGATCCAGAAAGAGAATCACAAATAATCTCATTTCATTATTCATGATATTACCATGAATTAATCGTATCCATTTGTTTTAAACATCTATTATAATGTGTCCAAAATAATGCTAAATCAGTTGAAGCAATTAAACGTTGACTATGGATTGGACAAAAAAAATTATTACATAACCATATAGGATCACATGTAATACCATGATGGATTGTACAATATGAACATATTGTCTCTAAATGATTCAATTGGGATTGTACATGATGAATCTACAATGAAATGAATGAAAATATAAGTAGAAATATAATTAGTATCAGAATGGGTTTTGTGGAGATTTTTAAAAATTTCACTGGTTGAAATTATGAGTTCATTGAAGCTAGACCAACATAGAAACCCTGGACGGCCGTTTCATCCTAGTATGGGACTTCTCAACAGTGCGCATCTACGACCCGGCTCCTCGCGAGATTCGAACTGAGGACCTATCAGTCTCACTAGTGACTGACTTCAAGAGATACTCCTGGAGTTCTAGTGGGAAGCCGTTGCCAGTGGAGTTCAACCAGGTCTGTTGTAAGATATCAACTCACTGAAGACAATGGTATACGGTGGCGCAACTTCGTGGATTAGTTGAAGCTAGACATTAACACCATTGGATGCCGGCTCAGTGATCTAGTTGGTTAAGCGCCTGACTGATAGGTTCTGGGTTCGAGTCTCGCGAGGGGCGGGATCGTAGATGTGCACTGCTGAGAAGTTTCATACTAGAAAGAAACGGTCATCTAATACTTCCAAGTTTTCAATAGTAGTCTAACAATGATCAGTTCATAATGTCAAGTAAAATGGATTTCATATTTCTCCAGCTAATAATTCTATTTTTACTCTTTATTCAATTTAATATAAAAGGAGTAATGAGTACGAAATTCAGTCAGTCTACAAAATAACAAGATGTCACCATAAAAGGGTGTATGACTTAGCATAGAACAACTGGATTAACTGTATATATTCATGTCTAATCAGTCATTTATATACGATTCCAACTAAGCGATTTGTGTAAAACAACTATCTCTGAATACATTTTAATCGTACTACAGAATTCCAATGACACACTTTTTCTCACTTCATCTCCATGGCTTAATCAAAGTCATAAGTCATATTGAATATCTACAATAAGACTAGTAAATAATGGCTTGGATACTAGTTGAAATAGTGATGTCATTTTTTTTCTTTTCTTTTCTCCCCCCCCCCTCTACAAGTTAATCTTTTTGAACATTATCATGAGACAATTCATACTTTAATGAATTTATTGATTAATATTGCATAAGATTAAGGGATATCGACTAAAGCAATTGAGGTCAGATCTGTTATTTTATTTTAACACATAGATATTGGTTTAAGGAGGCACCAAATAAATATGTGCCACACCATATTTGTGTGTGTGTGTGGGCTGTGATACTGCCCGGGTGCCCAGACCGAATCAGGTGGTTTTCTTTGGGGGGGGCACACTCCGAGCCTTTGACCTAAAGGTCTGATCCACAAGGCAGTGGAGCATCGTGAGGAGATGCATTCCCATGGTAGCCGGTGACCAACAGTTGGTTCATACGCCATTTGTTCCCTCAGGACACTGGAGCCCATAAGCACCATTTATTTGGGATCCGGTTAAAGCGCCGGACATTCGCTTTTCATCCTCTCGTTTTCGTAAACAACACGCCCGCCACGAGAAGGCAGTGAGTAGGACTTCCCTGGCAGAGGCTGTATACGCGTGGCCGTGTGAGAGCATTTCGAGAGGGAGGGCGGGCCCATCCCACTATCAGCCATACCAGGGCATTTGGGGGCTACTAATACGTAATCTATTCTATAATGTCATCATATTTAAGTAATGAACAGGTAACAATTTAAACGATTTATATAATAAAACACTTACATTACAACCAAATTTTATAGTTCCAATATTCATTAATCGTGAATTACCATCAATACAAGTTCTACAATGACCTAATTGATCAGTAAAACTAGTATTTGGTATTAATGTTTCACAACTAGGACAAATTCGTGGTGGTTGACCAACAAAAGCACGCATAACTGATGAAGGACGATAAAGATGTTTACGTTGATTTTGTGATATTAAATCAAGCTGTGATGAATTAGGAGATAAAATAAACGATGAAGATGGTGAACCTAGATTAGTGAATTGATGTTGAGGTCTTGAAGGATAAACATGAGACGGTTCGGAAGTTAAAATATATCGATGATGTTTAGAAGTGAAGTAACGAGGAAGTTCTGATAACCTGTAATATGAACAAAAATAGAACAAGAAAGGGTTAATGATGCAAAAGCAATTACTAATCACTGAAAGATTACAAGTTCTTGTCATCTTATGAGGATCTCTAATTACTCATATTGTAGTGAACAGAACACGGGTGGGGACAATCGAATGTATTTAGCACACGAATTACTGAGTTATTCGGTAAAATGGAAAAACCATATAGTAAATCGTTAATTTGCAAATTATCAATCCATCATATCAAACCGGACTGTTGCTGTTGCAATCATCAATCCATTGTCTCAAATTTCATGGCTCATGCGTTTTCTTACAAATTGCATTGCGTTCTTGCTCTTCCTTTCTTGACCTTCCCCCATCTTCTGCTGCCAGACATTATGTTCTTTAACTCGCGTCATATACTACTTATATCAATATAAGTAACACACACCACAATATCACTGTTACTGACTTTTTCGTCATGAATTTATTATTTATTTATTTGAACACATAAATATTGGTACAAAGGTGCACCAAATAAATATGCCTCCAAATGCCATAGTACAGTCGAGGATGAGGAGAGTTAGCTGTCCATCACCAAATGCTATCACATGGACACGTGTATACAGCCACTGTCAGGGAAGTTCTACTCACTGCCTTCTCGTGGCATTACTGTTATGTACGAAAGTGAGGGGGTGAAAAGCGCTTTAACCGGGTTGGTAGACACGGTGAGTCTACCTCCGGGATTTGAAAAACTCTGATTTCAAACCAGTGGGCACATGTGTTCCAAGATCCTGAGAGAGCAAGCGGCTTACGAATCTATTGTTAGTCACCGACTATAAAAGAACTGCATCTCCTGACGTTGCTCTACTGCTTTCCGGATTAGACCTTTAGGTCGAAGGTTCTGGGGTTTAGGCACCCGAGCAGTATCACAGCTCATACACAAATCAAATGACAAATACTACTGGAAATATTATTCTTGTTTCAATGAGCATTCATGAATTAAAATATGTTGAATAGCTCCTGTAATTTAAATGATCAATTAGAACGAGTTGTGAGCAGTTGATGAATGAACAAAGAAATAAGTAGTATATATTGTTTCATATATTCGAAAACTTTAGAGATTAGTTATTTCCCATTTAGAGTAGGGAATCTCTTCAAGTACATTCTTATAATATACAAGGATATTAAGTAGTTTATGAAAAATACAAAATTTTGAAGATATTTGCAAAGAATTCCTTATAACACATGAACTAACCAATTTCGAACACGCCAACCAATAACTTGTGTCATTCTTTCAATTGGAGGTAGAAATTGTTTATCTAAATAATAAGCATAATTTAAACGTGGTCCTAGGACACGACGTGATAAAGTGGATTTCCCAGTAATCCATAAAGAAGGATAAATTTCATGTACACTTCGAACACATGATAATAAAGTTTGATCAGATCTTCCAGCTGTTACATAATAAACAACACGTTCACCACGCAATGGTTCACCTCGTGGATCCATAGAAAGAAGACGTCTAGACAACATAATCGGAAAATAAAGGTATATATATGTATAAAAGATTTTTAAAAAAAGGAGTGTAGAAGATAAGCAAGAAAACTGAACAGACAGGTAGTTTCATCTATTGGTATTTGTTGGAGATGTTAGATCCTAAGAACTCACTTGGAAAACGTCCTAATTTTGTAACTTTCTTTGGTTTTCGCGCCAAAAGCGCTCTTATCACCCTCATGTCGTATCCTCCGCTTGGGAGAACGCTATTGGTTTATTGTATCTTTTAGTATACTAACTTGTAATGCTTCCCAATGACAATTTTATGCTGTATATATACGTTTGCATTGTGCCTGTCGTGGTTGCTCGTACTTGTGGCTACACTTGCAGGTTATATTACCCCTTTTCGAACTTGGACTTCTCTCTCTAGTTAGTAAGGCTGGGAGGCATCAGAACAAATAGCTTATTAATCTTTGGTCACAGAGTGTTTGTTCCATTCTCAGATTAGATGAACTCGAAATCGTTTCAAACATAGCCGTATTAATACGAAATAGTACTCAACAAATGTTTGAGGTAATATCAACCGTCTATAAATTTTCTTATTTAGACATATCCATTATGGAAATATAAACGGAAGACTTGATCATTGAATAGTCAACGGTTTAAATTGTGTGTTTTTTTCTTCTTCTTCATTAACACTAAATTGTGAACAGTCATTCTGTAATCCAATCAATCACTTAATCTCAGGTTCACCATCTTTTGATGTTATAGAATCATCTTTCCAGTGTATTGTAATAGTTATATTGTTCAACTTATGGTTCCTACTATCTCCACAATCAACACACATCTTCCATAGTCATTATCATCAGTAGACATTTGAACAAAATGAAAGGATTATAACATTATCAACAAAATTATATCAATTCTTACTTGGCAACTTGTAATGCTGGTGCAAATGTTCCCGGTTTATAAGAGGATAATCCCCAATAGGGTCTAGTAATTATACATTTATAAAATGGTATTCTACCATGTATAAGAAGATAGGCAAAATGTTGAATTTTATTTCTTAGATTATTTTCAGCAAGTTTTAATCTTTTATCCAAATGTTCATAAGGTTGATGAACTAAATTGAATCATACACATAAATCAATTAAGTTAAACAAAAGAACAAAAAAAGAAAGAAAATTTAATAGAGTCTATTGAAATTAGACCATTCTGAAAAACCTGGAAGTACTCGTGAGGTAGGATGGTGGATGCCCATTGTTGAAGAGTTCCATACAAGGACGAAACGGCTGCCTAATGCTTTCAGGTTTTCCATAATGGTCTAGCTTCAATTGACTCATGATTTCAACTATTAGAAAAATATAAGAGAAGAAATGAATTATTTGAATATATCACTATACAATAGATACATCTTGATATGAATGATTATCCATGTGTTTCGTTCTAATATTAAAGTCATCATCAGCCGGATGGCGTAGACACATTGATAACAGCTTAAGCATACATACAATTGATTGTATTCGCACTTCAGCAAACTCTGTTTATTGTGGTTAAGAACAAAAAACGTTTAATTGAGATATAATGTATACAAATAACTATCCGAATTTGACATTTAACAATTGTAAACACTGATAAAGAGTTATCAGATAGACAGTAGAACGAATTCCAGTTGATGATATCAAAGTATTTCCATCGAAAGCGAATACGTACAAAATTTCTTTTCAGCTTATGTTGTTATTAATGGAATCTCTTTAGTTATTTAAACATATAAATATTGATACAAAGGAGCACCAAATACATATGCGCCACATAAGTCACTTCATTCTTGTGTGAGCTGTGATACTGTCTGGGTGCCCAAACCAAAGCAGGCAGTTTTCTTAACGAAGCCAAACCCAGAGCCTTTGACAAAAGGTCTGATCCATAAGACAGTAGAGCAACGTCAAGAGATTCAGTCTCATGGTAGCCGGTGACTAACAATTAGTTCATACACCATTTGTTTGCTCAGGATGCTGGAACACATGTGCACCATTATTTTGGAATCAGAGTTTTCCAACTCCCTTAGGTGGATTCTTTATATCCACCTTCCCGGTTAAAGTGCTGGATATTTGCTTTTCATTCTCTCATCTTCGTAAACAACACTCCTGCTACGGGGAGTCAGTGAGTAGGACTTCCTCGGTGGTGATTGCATGCATATGGCCATGTGAGAGCATTTGGAGATGGAGAGCGGACTATCCTTACCCTTTGTCGTACGAGGGCATTTGGAAGCTTTTTATACAGTATACATGTTCATGGATATTTTTTTAAAAAAAACATACTAAACACATATGCTCCTAAGTCAGATTGTGTATTCAATGAGTAGTCATGAGTGATTAATGAAGTTAGACGGTGTTCTTCCACTCCAACGCTTATTCCAAATATCAACATTTGGTTTCTCAAGTATGTAAACAAAAGGATAATAAAGCGTTGCATCATAGTTGATGTCAGTTCGTGATGAAAACAATCAACCCCATGTGCATACGACTACTACCAGGGAAGTCCTACACATTGACTCCCCGTGGCGGGAGTATTGTTTACGAAGATGAGAGGATGAAAAGCGAATATCCAAAACTTTAACCGGAATGGTGGATATAAAGAATCCACCTAAGGGAGTTGGAAAACTCTGATTCCAAAATAATGGTGCACATGTGTTCCAGCATCCCGAGCAAACAAATGGTGTATGAACTAATTGTTAGTCACCGGCTACCATGAGACTGAATCTCTTGACGCTGCTCTATTGCCTTGTGAACTAGACCTTTTAGGTCAAAGGCTCCGAGTGTGCCCCTCTAAGAAAACTGCCTGCTTTGGTTTGGGCACCCAGACAGTATCACAGCTCACACAGAAATCGGATGATTTAGGTGGCGTATATCTGTTTTGTGAATCCTTGTACTAATGTTTATGTACTTAAATAAAATAAGATAAATGTAAATCAAACTCAAAACTGCAGCTTAACTTTGAATAAATAACCCTAACCACTTAGCATTATTGTTAAGGTCAATCGGTAACGAAAACTATATGAGATGATAAGCTCGATTCATTTGCATTAGTCCGACTCTTAAAAAGCAATATTTCGCATTAAAGAATGATTCGACATGTGACGGTTGATTATTCAAGATCATGCTATTATCCCCCTCGTAATAAAATTGCTTTTAAAAGTTCATTTTCTCACCATTATACAATATTTCCTAATTGGTTGATAGATCATTCAAGACAGTCAGTATAGTATACTTTCATTTAATGAACTGATATGAATTACATTAGATAGATCTATTACATATAAGAGATACATACCTTTATCTTCATGGGAATTCCCTTCCACATTTTTCAAACATTTTGGAATAGTGAAATGATTAAATAAAAGTTTAAAATATTCTTCAAGAACCTACAATTCAATAGAAAATGAAATCATTCAATATAGTTAAATTATACAATGCATAATTCTTATCTAATTCATTAAGGATTATATTAACAAGGGATAGTCCTTTCCATTAAGCAAGACTATAGAATATGAAGATTATCAGCAAAGATAGATAGTGGCTAGCAGTGAAATCCAGAAGGCACGTTTCGTCCTATTTAGAACTCATCATGCCCCCGAATGCCCTGGTACGGCCGAGAGTGGGGAGAGTCCGCTCTCCTTCTCGAAATACTCTCACATGGCCACGCGTATATAGCCTCTTCAAGGGAAGTCCTACTCACTGCCTTCTCGTGGCCGGCGTGTTGTTTACGAAATTGAGAGGATGAAAAGCGAATGTCCGGCGCTTTAACCGGATCCCAAATAAATGGTGCTTATGGGCTCCAGTATCCTGAGGGAACAAAGTGCGTATGAACCAATTGTTGGTCACCGGCTACCATGGGAATGGATCTCCTCACGATGCTCCACTGCCTTGTGGATCAGATCTTCAGGTCAAAGACTCGGGGAGTGGTCCCCTAAGAAAACCACCTGGTTCGGTTTGGGCACCCGGGCAGTATCACAACCCTCACACATATCGAATGAGATTTGTGTGGCGCATATGTATTTGGTGCCTCCTTAAACCAATATCTATGTGTTAAAATAAATAATAAATAAATAACGACTCATCATCGTTGCTTATAAAGCTTTTGACTTCAGGCAGTATTAAGGCACTTCGCACAGGATGCATATATGCCAGCAAGAGATTGATCAATTGCAGTCCTAAATAACCACATCAAGTGAATATGCAGATTTTTCATGTCATACAAATTTCTGATTCACCTAACTAACAACTTGTAAATTTAATTTTATCGACAATTGTGAACAGAAAGACTGATTTAGTTTGAACTTATGACTTTCATCTAATGAATTGCAAGCAATAGACCTAATTCTGGATAATAATTATCCATGACTATTGTACAATAGTTGTTGTCCCAGGTCTCATATGTGGTAAAAGAGTGGTGAAGATTTGTAGCTCAAGTGGATGATTTTGATGGAGTTTTGTTCTCTGAGCTAGATGGTTTGGTTGTGGAGTTTTCAGCGTTCTTCTGAACGACATCATCAGCACAAACTTCAGGTAGAAGTAAAACGGTTGGATTCCACGCATAAAACTACCCTAAATAATATATAATACCCAGACCAGTAACGTTTTTTTCCTCACTTATTCATTTCTTTCTCTTGCGATGATAACCAAATGTGATAATTGAGAGACAATTTACATTTGTGTCAGATTCTCAATCAGACAGAATTAACAGCGACTCGAGCATAAATATGCGTTAATCCAAGGGTCGAAATATGGCGGTAGCAATGACTGAACATTAAGAATTATATTCAAAAAGACAAAGTGAAAACGTATGTATGAAAGGATATTGGACGATAAAGAGCAAATACTATTGAAGCATACTATCTAACATCTCCAAGCACTGATTATGGTTACAATGAGGACTATAACCAGATACTCTGAATCAATTAACATGGCTCAGATCGACAGTTAATGATTTTATGAATGGATGCTATGTCCTGATTTCGCCACGTTTATAGAGCTTTCTATCGAGGTAGGTTATGGGTAGTCAGAAATCGAACCATACAAAGATCTCAACATCCATTGAAAACCTATGGAAATAATCAAATCAAATATTCACTTACTTGTCCTACAAATGGACAACTATCACGTCTTACAGTTTCAATTCCTTTTGCATCAAATACAGGTTTATTTTGTTCAACAGTTTCATAAGCATAACCAACATATCGTTTCTTTGCTTCCAATAGACATGGATAATAAATCTGAAAGTGGAGTTAGTTATAGTATGTATCAAACAAATCAAAGAAAAACTCATAAATCGTGATCATTCCAGGAGAGAAAAAAATCGATGGTAGATTACACATAGAAATCAAGTATCTTTTCCCATAGATACTTCAGTCAACAAGAAGATTATTCTATGAATATAAGGTTGATTGATGTATTGAAAGAATATTACCAATGATATGAATAACTGACTGATTGGACAATAGTCATAGTGTACATTTCTTTACGAAAACGTTATCGACAGTACGTTAACTACAGAAGCATATTTATCGACATTCAATATCAATTAGTTATTTCTAGCTAAAGGTGAAAAACATGGTTCAATTAGATGAAGACAATTTACAGAATACAGAGGATTTATGAACAAACTGAACGAAAACGATGGCATTTGGGTGTTATACGCGTTAATTCTCAAATGATGTCTCGACTAACAGTATGTACCAATAACCAGTTAAAGTATGAAGAATGATGTTGATGACCATGTTGGGTTATTTGATTATTCAGGGAGTGAATCCCATTTGATAATTTGCTGAGGAAATTGTGATACGGTCGAGGTTGGTCCATTTGGCCTATTTATACCACGTATTGTGCCAGTAAGATATTAGACTACCCATTAAACAATGATTATGATGATCAGAAGGCAAGACTAAGAAGTAGACGAGTGTCCATGATGGATATTGATCATAAGTGAGTTTTCAACAGCGAATTGCAATACTAGGTAAACAGTATTCGAGTAAGTAGGAAGTTTCGACGAGATCAAGTACCATGGTAAACTGTTTATACACCTTGAATAAATTAACTTTCACCTAGTTATTGGTGAATATAGTTTATGACAGACACTTTCTTCTTCACACATAAACCTATTTTATTCAAACAAATACCTTTCCACGTATGAATGATTTACGCTTTCCACTGGTTTTGCAGTATAATAACATGAGCTGACAAGTTGATATATCATTACGAAAATAATTTTTCAGGTAGTCTTACACATCACCTCTTAAAATATAACAATAACATGTCCAAAAGATTCAAAACAGAGAGAGATATTACCGAAAAGCTATTGCCGATAATCGGTGACAACCCATTATTTTCGTAGGAAATTCAAACTACTAATATTTTGTCAGTAGTTAAGTAGCTAATTTAGAAAATGTCAATGTAAAGAAAAAAAACAAACCTTTTCAAGTTTTAATTTAATGGGTACCGGATTCATTGATGTTACTTCCTTGGCAATTTGATATGCAGCATCGAATGCTTCTGACTTACCATAACCTTTAAGGTGTATAAATAAACTATCTGTATCACCGTAAACTACTCGTGGTGTTGGAAGACCGTTACAATTATCTGGTAATACAATCTTGCCACTGTTAACTAGTTCAATAGCATTTTCTAAAATTTCTCTGGCTTTATGCACAATACTATCACCAAGCTAAAAATTAATCAGGTAAAATAATAATCAAATTCTGAAAGGTTTTGATAATCTTCGTCTTCTCATTAGATTATACAAATCGAGGAACAGTTAATGAACGACTATAATAACAATAATGTAAAAGAGGAAGGCCAAAGAACACATTACGTCGGGAAATAGAAGCAGATATGAAAGGGATCAATAGGGACTGGAAGGAGCTGGAAAGGATTGCCCAGGACAGGGTTGGATGGAGAATGCTGGTGAGCGGCCTATGCTCCTTCACGAGGAGTAACAGGCGTAAGTAAGTAACTATTTTATGATAAACAAAAGTAACAACAAGAGATATTGATTACACATAATATGGCATCTAAATACACAGTAACACACTACTAATTCTTAGTTGACGAAGTGAATATTGAGTAAAAACTCTATATAACTGACTTCTAAAAATACAAAGAAAACGTCTGTGTTGAATAGGTTACTTTTGATGGGATAAAGAAATACATGCAGATATACGTAGAAGATGGGATTGAAACCTAACGAGGAATGATGAAGATATACGATAGATCTAGCGAAATTATCTGATTCTATATACTAAATAATCACTAGCTAATGGTTGTCCTAACATAGAATTATACTGTGATTCCATCTAACTGTTTTAAAACCACCCGAGGATATAGTCACTCATTCACTGGTTGGATAGTTTGGTAGTACGCTTAATATAGCTGCCTTCACAGGAGCAACTCGGGTAACTGATACTTTGCTCAAGTAAACATGACAGGAAAATATCGATGTAAGATTAGCTGTGCAAAACGTTCTTTCAACTAGTCTCACGAATTTATCATCCAAGATATTGCTTGCTACATTCGTGTTTAACTGTAGCTTAAGGAATACGGACTTTTTATAAATGGCGCACATCAACGTCTTTTTCCCTGTATAAAGAGAAGTGTCAAAGACATTTTTGAGATTACTCACAAGTAGATGTGAATGTCAGTAGAAATCATATGATCTCTGTGGATATCATATCTTTATTCACCAATGAATCACTCTAGTCGAGACAATCGAGTTTACCTGTAAGAAAATATAGGAAACTCAAATCAACATTGGCTTCCCTCAGAATAGTGTTAAAGAATTACGGTCACCGTTCATTGTGCCTTCAACTATACTTACTATAGAAAAAATTGATGGGACAGCTGAACTGACATTTAATAGGGATATAACTAGCGATATCCTGCATGATAGATTTGTGAGACTAATTAAAAGGACATTTCACACAGCTATTCTTACGTCAGTATTTTCCAGTCATGTCTACTGGAACAAACGATAAGTTACTCGAGTTTACCTCTTCGATGTACATCTACGAATTCACATGGGTGCATGGATTTTGGTCATCATTGATCAGGCGATAGTGTAAAGTATCTTCTCACGTCAGGGGTGTTGTCTACGAAATTGAGAGGATGAAAAGCGAATGTTCGTCGCTGTAACTGGCTTCATGGATATGGACAATCCACTTATGGGAGTTGGAAAACCCTCATTCCAAACTAGGATCCTGAACGAACAAATGGTGAATGACATTAAAGAGGAAGAATGTATTTGTAAAATTTCAGAGAAAGAATTTGAAAAAGCTTGGACCAGGCTGTCAGGTGAAACGTTGGATTTACTTCAAATTCTTTCGCTGAAATTATACAAATACATTCTTCCTCTTTGATGTCTCACATTAACTCGGCGCCCAAAGATTGTGAAACTATTCGTTCAAATTTAGACGAAGGTTCTTATTTATTATTCTGCAATCGCAAAAAATGGTGAATGAGTCTATATTCAATTTCGTCGGATAGCATGAGACTGCATCTCCTGCTCCATTGCCTTATGGATCAAACTTCTAAGTCAAAGACTCGGTCAGTGGCACCTTAAGAAAACCACTTGCTTCGGTTTAGGCGCCTTGGTAGTATATTCCAGCCCTCACACAAATTGAATCATTTGTGTGGCGCATATAAGTTTTATGCCTCCTTGTACCAATGTTCATGTGTTTAAATAAATAAATAACATTTCATAGATTTTCTTTAATTAGCCAACATAAACCAAAAATGAAAGCATAATCTAAACTTGACTGATGAAATTAAGCCATCAGTGAAGATTGGACAACGACTATTCAGTATTAAATGAAACAAGAAAATATGATAGCGAAGACAAACTATACAACTGATTAAATGAATTGGCGGTAAAGTTACCAACAAAAAACACCGACTCGACATTTTTATCTTAAAAATACTATCGAGATTAGCTTACGTCTACACACGGCATACGTCCAGAAAAACTTGCCGCAGTATAACCATATATCACATTGGCCATTAATTTTAATCCAAGCTGTCGTGCATCTAATAATCTGTTCAAACACTATAAATATGTTGTTAGATAGGGAAAAACAAAGTAAGCATGAATAAGGAACAAGACAAAAAAAGCACAATTCTAAATATAATAAGAATAAACAGTTGTTTGAGAAACCGAAAGATGCTGGAATCAGTGTTGTATGATTGAATGCTGTAAAGTTGGAACAAATAAATAATTGGTTGCCAAAGTGATAACGATGGTTAACTCCAATTAATGGTATTTATTAAGAAGAAGAACTGTTAGAGCCTTTGTTTAGTGAATAAAACCAATAGGTCCTAAGTTCGGATTCCGCAAGGCGGGGTTGTGGATGCGCACTGCTCAGCAGTCCCACAATAGGACGAAACGGCTACCCAGTGCTTCCAGGTTTTCCATGGTGGTCTAGCTTCAACTGACTCATAATCACAACTACTGAAATTAATATTTGTTGTGTTTTTTTAGACAATGTTATATTTGTCCTAATTTAAGTGTTGTATCTTTTAGTCTTCACCGAGCCCAGAGAATCAGTTTCAGTATTTCAAAATCGTGTCCTACTTGTAAATAGTTAACTGATCCAATTATTGACATTTTGCATAATGGACAATTAACATGTCCATTACCAGACTTACTTCTCAAAACAACAGTCGTAATAACTCACAATCCAACGTTAATGCCCCATTTGGTTTTTAGAAAGTCTGATCTCATCTGATCGGAATATCAATGAACAAATGGTACTGATAAGTCTTCTAACTAAACGGTTGAATCGATTTCCTAAACTCTTCTGATAACTCCAGTCTAAATCTACACGAGAACTTAGTCTATGTAAGGAAAGTCGAGTGTATGTATAGTACTACAGATGGCCTTGGGCTTCTGGAAGGTTCTTGAGTCATACTAAACATAGTAGCAGATAGGTAATCAATCAATCATAAACATGACACGTGACTTTCCACTTTCTAGACACCTAAGTAACTCCTATTCAAAGCTCATTGGATAAAACGTTTTCCAGAGTTTTTAGGACCCCTTAGGACTTTTTCAAGAAATACTTTGGATCTCTTCCCAACAGTTACTATTATAGGGACTTTGATACGACGAACTACTACTACTGACATTTAGTTTATTTAGAAATCAGGCCAACACTCTATAAATTTCGTTATATGTATGTGCATCTACGCTGACTTCGAGAGGCAGACTGGAAAACTATGTTCATCATTTTAGTTCATTCCAAAGAGAAGATCTAATTAAGTAATCGAAAACAACTTCGGTTATCAAGGTTTTAAGTTATATTATGAATGTCATGGATTAAAGGGATGAATTCGTAATACAATCAAGGTTTGATATGATTCAACAAACAGATATCTAAACTAATCAATAAACTCAAATTTGTCAATTTTCAAGGGTTAGTCGCTACAACAATAAACTGCTTCATGATACATTGAGTCAATCAGAAATCAGCTGAATGATAAATCCATGTGACTAACCAAGAAATAGTATAAGACATACACCATTAATGGTACATTTCCATTTTTGTTTAATCAATAAACTTCCTTCTCAATCTCATACGTTTTATTCAAGTAGCCAATTGGGTTCCCGTATTGCAAGATTGAGCATTAGCATCGAAAAAACCTTTCTTTAATATCAATTCGATGGTTATCAGTCAGTCAGTAACAACGTAGAACTTCGTACGTACGTACATCAGTCCGAGTTGCCACACCACATTAACACAGAGATTCAGTTGTCGATTCAAATCCCGTAGTGGTAGAGGTGGTAAGAGTATAAGCGGTAATCGGGAAAATTAGTGTTTGGAAATGTTATTTAAAGAGTATAATACAGTGAAATAAAATTGGAAAAAGAAAAGAAGAGACAAGGAGGATTCAGGAGATTAGAATTTGGGAGAACACAAAGAGTGGATGCACCTGCTCACACCATTGCAAACGATTTTGAGCCATGTCATTCAGGGTCTCTAACCATTGGTTGCTATCATCTCGCGGTCCCCAACTATGTAGTCTATACCTACCAACATGGCTCAGTGCACTTTTATCGCTGATTTGTATATTTTCTAATCCTATTGGATTATCTGGAAGTATCTATGTGATGATTATCATGTTTTCTTGACATGAATCAACATTTCAAGACAAAATTCACCAATTAAGAATCAATCAGAACACGATTGGTGGACGACATTCTGTCTACAAGTTAAAGGAATCTTTCAAATCTTATTCAAACTAAAGTATTTCAAAAAGTTTCAATTGTTTTTAATTCCCTTTAGCTATAAGACTCATTGAAGTTCTTCTATTATACCACAGTACTAAACGATGACATTTATTATAATCAGGAAGGAGTTTTGTGGATATCATTAGTAATCTAATAGTTGAATTAATGAGTTGACGAAAACTAAATTACTATGAAAAACCTGAACGCATTAGATGATCCTGGTTTCGAATCCCACAGCCGGGATTGTGAATGAGCACTGCTGAGGAGTCTCGTACTACGATGAAACGGCTGTCCAGTGCTTCCAACTTTTCAATGGTAGTCTAGCTTCAATTGATCGATGAATTCAACTATTAAATTACATTTATTTTTTTTTCTGTTAAATCAAGGAACATAAAAACACACAACTGTTCCCATAGATACTAAGTCGTCGAAAGTTCTTAAGTTTTCATACTGAAAAGTATTATCGAATTCAAAATTATTACCACTTCCTGAAGATGTTTGTCACAGTTAAAGCGCATAGGTGTTAACCTACTACTACTCCTTATGAGTTAAATTAAAGTATTGAACAATAATGAATAGTAACCATTACCTTATTTGTTTTATACAATTTGATTGAATCTTTCACCATTAAACGAGTTGTAATCAGCTGTTTTAACATGCTATAAATCAACAATAAAATATTGTTTTAATATAAATAAAAATTACAATGACTTTAATAAAATAATCATTATTTATTTCTATTTGTGTGTGTGTGGCTTGTGATACTGCCCGGGTGACCAAACCAAAGCAGGTGACTTTATTAGGTTACACCCGGAGCCTTCGACCTAAACGTCTAATCAATAAGGTAGTGGAGCAACGTCAGGAGATGCAGTTCCACGGTAACCGGTGACCAACGATTGGTTTATATGCCATTTGTTTACTCAGGATTATAGAACACATGTGCACTGTTCGTTTGGAATCAGGGTTTTCCTACTCCCCTAGGTGAATCCTCCATATCCACCAACCCGGTTAAAGCGTCGGACATTCACTACTCATCCTATCAATTTCGCAAACAACACCTCCGCCACGAGAAGTCAGTGAGTAGGACTTCCCTGTCAGTGGTTGCATAGGCGCGGGCATGTGAGAGCATTTCGAGAGAGAGAGAGCTGACTCTTCCCACTCTCGGCCATATCTGAGCATTTGGGAGCAAAATAATCATTCACACTTTCCTTTTTCATGATTCAATAAAAATACCTTGTGTCGTCCACAGTAGAATTGAAAAAATAAGAAAATAACTCGAGAACTAACGACAGAAACCCATAATGTATGTGTGTGTGTCATTGAGCACGATAGCGAAGAGCTAAATATACCACTTGACTCTTTGACACTGTTTACAATTGTGTTAACCTAGTCCAGTTATTTGCCATTGATTGACAATTGAACAGTGACCAATATCATGTATGTTGAGTTGTACTTAATGCTCAGTGGTAACACATCTTTGACTGTAAAATTGGATGACACAGGATAGAAACTGAAAAGAAGTATCAATCTCTTCAAGATTACAGGCACAACTTGTTGATAAGCAGTAAAGTACACAAAACCTAAATTCAAGGTTTCCTGTCAACTACTTCTGAATTATCTTGTGAATTCGGTTATAACTTTCATTATTCTGAAGAAATGGTTTACACTAAGTTACGAAACATCGAAATATGTGACTTCTACTCATTGGAACATCATTTATTATTATTATTTGTAACTATAGATCTAGTGAGAAGAAGTGACCAGTAAAGTTCAACCAGGTCAGTTGTGAGATAGTAACTCATTTAAGACAATGGTAGATGTTGGACATTAACGCTGTTGTATGTAATAATAATATGTTTACAATTCTTTTGTAAATAACCGAATTGTTTCTAGCTACAATTGATTTATTTGTAAAAGATGATCAGTGTAGTCGAAGGGGTAATCACAAATTTGAAATCAATAGACTTTAAATACACCACCTATAGGAACTAAGTAATCTTAACTGGTATATCAGATTCACTTTATAATGATATATGAATTAAGTTTCATATTTCTCAGTGATACAACAGATAAACAAAACTTTATTAATAAAGAATGAAATTTAATTGTCAAGACTAACCTTCGAATGATAGTTATGAAGCTTAATTTCATTAGATTGATTCTTTTTCAATATCATCGGTGGATAACTGTCTTACACCTGACACAGTTGGATGCTATTCTAGTGGTCTAAAGCTTAAACTCTCGTTACAAGGCACAGATTATCGATGGAATTATGTGAACATGGATAGCTAAGGTGTCCTATACTACTTGAACGATGGTATTAACAGAATATACATCTTGTCAATTCCAGCAAATTTATGTAAACCCTTCAAAATCTTATCTTACTTATTTCCGAACTTCAATCAATTACTGCCTTACCCGTCCCCCACCCTATCTTCTTGAATCCCATCTCCAAATGACCTCAAATCTGTTTTTACACAAATAGATAGATATATATAAGATCATTGTCGATAACCCTTGTTACTCTAAATCTTTCTATCATCAATGTCAATTATTTCACATTATATGATGCTTCAATATTACTTGTTAATACACATTAATTGTTGTAAGTGGCTGATGCAAAACCATAAAATACAATGAAATCACAATTGATTGATCACTGGGTGGTGATCCATGTCATGTGTGTCAAGTCATTCTTAATGCAGATTGAATGATCGATAGCATTGTGATTACATCTCAGTCCTACATGAGGTCGGTCGCGGGTCGGATAACCCAGTGGCAATGTTTCTGACTGTGAAGCTGGATGACATGGGATCGATTCCGTCAGGCAGCATCAGTTCCCTCAAGATTACAGGTACACCTTGCTAACGAGTGACAAGTAACATGAAACCCGGGCCCAGCGTTTCCTGTTGATTACCTCCAACCACCATCTTATCATCATGAAATCATATTATTATTCTGCCTCAATTATTATTAATTCTTAAATCGATAATCCATATAAAAATCTAATATATATCTTACCGTGGTAGAATTCCTTCCCTTATTGATTTTTTCACAAATACAACTCCATTTGGTGATATATTAACTTCTCGACCGATTCTCTACATTCGAACAATTAGTATATACATAAATCAGAAAAACTTTATATCATATGAAGTATATAAGTCTAATAGAGAATCAATTAATATAACAAATTTATTCAGATAATTTTGGGTACTCAACTGATTGTCCATAAAGCACAATATCTAGAGAACTCCTTCATGCTACTATGTTGGTAAAATTAGCCAAGTTCAAATACGTGACAGATTAGATTTGTTTAACCTTAACATATAAGTGTTAGAAGATTTGATTCATCAATGAATAATATCGGCTGCAGAGACGATTGAAATCAAGGAGTTATGTTGTCTTCATTGAAGATCTCTCCATTTTTGAGATTTACATATTTCAATTACATTAATTAAGAGTGATGAGTATTCTCTTGTGAAATTTCATTCTTGAATATCAACAATGAAATAATACAAACCCTTACAGATAAAAGGATGAAGAATATTTGTAGCATAGGTTTAGGATGTTGTAGATAATAGCAGTCTCTGACTAGGATGGTTTTGTTGTGAAACTTGCATTGTTCTTTTCCGCCCCCAAATACTCTAGTATGGCCGAGAGTGGGAGAGCCAGACCTCCCTCGCCACGCGTATACAGTCACTGTCAGGGAAGTCCTACTCACAGCCTTTTCGCGGCATTACTGTTCCTTACGAAATCGGGAGGACGAGAAACGAATGTCCGGAGATTTAACCAGGTTGGTGGACACGGAGGATGTCCCTAATGGAGTTGGAAAAGCATCATTTCAAACCAATGGTGAACATGGGCTCCAGGATCCTGAGCGAGCAAATGGCATATGAACTAATAGTTGGTCACCGGCTACCATGGGACTGCATCTCCAGTGAAATCTAATCGACTCAAATCTCCGTTTAAACAACAACAACAACACATTGATCTAGGAAAATCCAGCACTTCCTGGATCTTAGTTCTGGCCACAACCCATATACTCTAACAATTAGTTTTATTTAGAAGCCAGTCTGTAATCTTCACATGAATCACTTATCACATAATCGATAGCCTATTGTCAAGTTTGTAGTATTCAACAGGTTTCTAATGATTATGCTTATAATATAGACATTTGGCTGTATCATTTCGTTTAGTGATGTAATTCAAACTGACGATTAAAAGTAAACGATAGGATGTTGTGAAGGTAAAACTTATGGTGGTTAGTATTTATCAACAATACATATCTAAAGTCTGTCCCTGGACCATTTAACATTGTTTTTATGTCATCATTATGCTAAATAGAATTTTAAGGAAATGAGATATTAGTTATCTTCCTGCTAAAATTCATCTTAGTATAAAACTTATTAAGAAGAGTCGACAAAATTTTATCAATAAATCGTTAAGCACTCGCGAGGCACGGTCGTGGATGCGCACTACTCAGGAGTTCCACAATAGGACGAGACGGCCATCTAGTGCTTCCAAGCTTTCCATAATGGTCTAGCTTCAATTGACTCATGATCTCAACTATTGAAATTACTAATAATATCCATAAAAACCTCTTTCTGATATTAATCAATTATTAACATGAATTTATAGATAAAACTTACCTTGATCAGACCAGATGGAAGTGAATGTGATAAACAACCAAGATTGAATGAAACTTCTTCACTTCATTACACAAATACAAAAAAAAGAGAGTCGAACTGCAAATGTACAATTCACGAAAGTTCAATAGTCATTATAAAGAAATAAACAAGCATTTTATTAAGCTTAACAAATCACAATACAAAATTCGTTTATTCCTTACAGAACAGTTGGTAAACAATCAACCTACTGTTTAATTCTGTAGACAATCACTATGGAAATAATATTTGATGTGATTTTAAAATGGCTTCCTGGAAGTTATTCAAAACGTTAGTCAAGGTCTGCGCGACTATCATGACCAGTGATTGGAGATTCTGGTTGACATGGCTCAGAATCGATCACATTGGTGTAGGTGTATATACTGTTTGTCTTCCGATAAACCGTGAGATTAAAATTACTTTATACCTTTCTTTCGACGAACTAATTCTTTCTCCCTCTATCATATCCTTATATGCAATCCGTTTTTTTTATATATATTACTACCATTGAGGTAACTGCTTCTATGAATTCGGTGTTCATCTTGTTGTGCTAATGAGGTGTAGCAACTTGGACCGAAGTATGGAAGAAAGCTGGATAAAACTGCCATCTATCAGTCCATCATAACTCCCCAATTAGAGTGCAGCTTAGTGGCTCGAGACGCTATCAAATATAGCCTAGAGCAGAAACTAACGTCCATCCCATTGTGACTTGCTTTTGCTTTCTTCATATAAGTGCGAGGAACTTCTTTAACTGAAAGAATCCTTTCTGGTTGTATTTTTTTCAACTGAAATGCTTCTCCAATCATAAGCTACTCTCGTTAGCTTACTTTTCTTCACTTGTTGTTTTTAATTATATTTATCCTCCTTCCTTTTTCACTTCACAATCTCATTTTCTTATTGTGTGGCACGTATTTATTTTAGTGCCCGCTCACACCACTACTTATGTGTTTAAGTAAATAAAAGGATCGAGAAATGTTGAGCAGTGTTACAAAGTAAACTGGGAATGAGCTGACACTCATAAGTTAACTGACAGTTACTGAATTGTTAGACTACATCACCAATTACTAGGTATTGACTTAGTGGTTAGAATATTTGACATATGATCAACTAGTGACAGGTCCGAATCCAGCTAACTTCGGTCTGAACACCTGAGTAGGAACACTCGTCCTCACATCTAAAGTCTAGTCAAAATAAGAATACATAAACTGGCATTTGGCAAATGAAGAACATTAAAATTTCACGACTAAGTGATTTTAATTAGATGATTAGCCAAGTCATTGATTTATTCCTAAATGAACATTACATATGGCAAACGAAAATTCAGACCGGTTAATCGCAACCAAAAGAACACACAAGTGATTTAAAATCCTGTCGAAAATGTTAACTACAATCAGAAGTCAAATGTTATATATTTTTCCAGTGATTTTCATTCATTGATAAAAATAATGAAGGAATCCGTTAAGATTAGCTGTTGCCAACACACTCACCCTTCAAGAAGACATGAAAGACGTCCCAACAGTGTAGAATAACAATAATTATAAGCGATTATAACAGAAGGATATAATGATTGAAAGTCAAGAACAGCCACAGGACCATCAATGAAAAATACACTTTCTGGTTCTAAATTCAATGGAATCCCTTCTGGAGCAAGCTGATGAGCACGTTGTGTAACACTTGGACTAGGTAAAATAAAATTTGATTGTCTTGCAATTCGACAGAGAAGAGATTCAACTCGATACTGAAAGGTAGAATCAATACGAGAGAAATTTTATGGTGTAGCACTTTTGAACTAAACTACAATACAAAAATATTACTCATCTGATTATCGTTTACTAAGTGAAAAACCAAATATCAACAACTGATTTATGTAATGTGCTATAGGTTACAGAAAATAACAATAGCATCGGGTGTTAGACAGTTACCCACCGAAGATAATGGAAGATGACCGCGCAATATCGTGGACTAATTGGAATTAGACATTAACACCGTTGGACCCAAGGTTCGTGGTTTGGAGGTTAAGCGTTCACGAAAGACCAGATATCCTGGGGTTTGAGTTCAATGTGTGGGGCCGGGGATGCACATTGCTGAAGAGTCCCATACTAGAACGAAATGACCGTCTAGTACTGCCAGGTTTTCAATGATGATCTAACATTGATCTCAATTAAAACTCAACAATCTCCACAACTCTATACTGATAACAACAAAAATGTCCAAACTATGAAGTGAACCACTTTCGTAAATTGTAAAAGTACATTTAGGTGGACAGTTTAATTCAACGATGATCTGCCCGGTTGAAAGTGTGAGATATTAAAACTAAGCAATAATAAAAAAAAAAAACACAGAATCTTTACATTACTATTCAAATGAAGTATACAAAATGCATAGAAAAAGAACCTACATCATCTGATTATGTAACCTGTTAATTTAGAGAATCTTACTAGATACTATCGTCTTGAAATTATATGAAGTGTTTAAGTAGAATACACACAGGTACCACATATTCCATTTACGTCTAAAATTTCCCACAGGTTTAGTAGTGACTAGTCTTGTTGGGGACGTTAGATCCCCAGAACTCATTTGGAAAAGGTCCTAATTTTGTAGTTTTATTTTGACAATATGAATTTCTTTGTTTTTGCGCCAAAAGCGCTCTTGTCACCCTCATGTCGCATTCTCCACTTGGGAGAATGTTGAACGCTATTGGTTCATTGTGTCTTTTAGTATGCTATTTTGTAACGCTTTCCAAGGACAGTTTTGTGTTGCATATATACGTTTGATTTGTGTCTGTTTTTATCGCTCGTGCTTCTGGCTTTTAGTGGAATATACTTCCCCGTTCGTACTTCAACTTCTCTCTTTAGTTAGCGGGGTTGGGATACATCAGAATAGCTAGCTTATTGGTTTTTGGTCACCGAGTCTTTGTTCCGTTCGCAAACTAAGTGAACACGTAATCGCTTCTAACATAACAGGTCTCAACTCTTTTCTTAAGAATTTTCATTATTCCGTTTATTGTCTTCTTGTAGGTCATATTTGGAAGTGTAGTATAATCAACTAATGCTCGATGTCTAAACAGCTAGGTTGTAGGTGCGAATTCATATCGTGCTATGCAGACATTCTAGTACAATTTTCTAAATATATTTTTTAAATATTTCAGTTACTTTGATTTTTGTATTGAACAGTGATTACCCATTCTGATTAAGCTCTAAGAACATCTCACGTTCTCAACAGAATCTAAACAGTAACATTATTAGTACTGCGGTGTGTGCTACTGATATTAAGAGATATAAGTAGTATATGTGATTAATCGAAAGTGGAACACCTGGCGGCAGCAGATTAAGGAGACTGAAGAAAAGAGAATGATTGATGTGCAAACGAAGGGACAATCAACTCTGAAACGATTGACTGATAGTTTGCAAATGAAGTATTTATCGTATGGTTCTCAGATTTTATCAAGATATCCTGTAATGTTGAATTTGGTTATCCCCACTTGTGTTCTCGTTCACTACAGTACTTTGTAAAAGACACAATTTCTTGGCATACAACAAATGATGAAATTCAAGATATACGACTTTGATCATTCATACTTTTATCGTAATTTTATGGTGTGTAATTGAGCACATTGAGTTACACATTCATAAGCAAATTAATAATTATTTATTCAACAAACCTGAGAACCACGAGATAGAACATGATAGAATTCAATGCCAAATATACGAGCAAATTCACTTGTTCGACCAATTAAATCTAAAGTATTCAATAACTTCAGATTTACAATAGAACGACGTATCCAATAGTCGATTGTGCGCCAGCTACTCGACAAAGAGAGAGTAAAAAAGCATCAAAAATGCGACTGGATCATGACCAATCATCAGAAATGGTGAGCTGCTAACTTATGAAACAGTTCATCAGTAAAATGAAACAATTAATACATTTCAACTGGTTATGACTTTAGCCACTGTACAGATGCAAATCGTTATCAAGTCCCAGTTCCCATCTCGTAGCTATATATTTATAGATAGGTAGCTAATGAGAGGTATCTTTCAAGTAGCCAATGTTATTTTGTCCAATCTTCGTTTTTGGTCAAGTTTTTTTCCGAACAAGTTATCAATACGACAAAATGGTTAAATAAAAAGATGTTCAAGTGTGCTGTGCTTTATACTATATAGTTGCAAAGGTTCTAGAATAAACTTCAACACCGAATCATTTAGTGAAAATATTATGAAGCAGGTCAACAAAATTCAGTTACCATTGGAAATTGTGAAAAAGTCAAGCTAAGTCTAAGAAGGCTTAGTCAAATTACACAACTTTATTTTTGTCTCTTCATCACATACAGAAATTGTTCAATGTTATAAGATCGTTTACAATGCAGGGGGTATGAAATGAAACGGTAGAAATAAGAAGTCAATCAGATTATGAAATATAAAATAATATGTGAACTGGTTCCTTGATTCTTTTTAGTGCTGAATCAAGAGATCAATGACAACAGGTAGAACAGGTTACTTAGTATAGTCCAATTGTAATCATCAAATATACACTAACTAGTTGTTAAGTTTGTCTTACATTGTTCCTACTCACTCCCTTTCCACTCCTTTGCATATTGTTTTATACTACTTATTTACATTCAATAAGCAGTTGTATTACCAACAATTTTTACACATATGTTGTGACGCAAGTTGAAGTGTAATATTCTGAAATGTTCACATATACTTATAACGTTTATTGTACTTATCATTGTATTTATCATTATAATCACTGTACCTTAATCACTGTAGTGGTTATCCACAGTTTTGTGCGTTTATTTAAACGCAACAGTTTCCACATTGTTTTGCTCTTGGTTCGGGTTTCAGTTGTTCATAAACTGTTATCAAATTTAGACACAGCTATCAGCTGTCCTTTGTACTATCGTAGGTTGCAATTATTCTTTATGTTACTGTTACAGGAGGCCTTTTTATTATCATACTTGAAGGGCACGTTTAAACGCCCCAGACACCTCATAAGTTGAGGTTTGTAAATAAATTTTGTGTATTATTCAATAAAGAACCGCTATTGTAGACAAATCGTTGTTTTGGAACTTCGGTTTCGCGCGTATCTCAATCGGGTGAAATAGACGCTTCGATAGACCTAACACTAGTATAACTACCTATTTTGATATCTATGAAACAGATGTTTTAGCGTTACTGATTCAACCTGAACAGATGTGCGCTCATGTATACGTTCCCTTAGTTTTCAACCGTGGATTTGTACGCGTAATTATTCAAGATTATTCAGGTAACACAGTCGAGCTACATGGTCATTCACGAGACAGAAGTTAACAGTAATGTATATTTCCGATAGCACTAGTGTTATCATTAGCACCATAAAGAATATAATGAGAGGGTATCTCTAAAGAAAACAGATAATGTAAAATTTGATTTGTTGATACCTTGATTGGACTTTGAAGAGTCTTATTTGGTAGATGTGCTCGTTATACGCATTTGCTTAATATAGTCAAAGTTTATGTAAAATAGATGGAATGTAGCTAGTAGTACAGTTCAGGACACAGGTTACATCCTATTCAAAGTGGTCATCAACTTCGGGATGCATGTATAGTCAACTGACGAGTTTCAAACAGGACGAAACACCCATCTTGGATTCCACAGCCAACCATATTGCACTAATTCTATATAAACTAGATAGTGTTAAACAAAACTGATGGTTTGAGATGGTTTTTTAAAAAAAATACGATGAAATTAAGACGGTAAAACCCAAGTATGAAGATTAAAATTTCCAAGACTGGATTAAAAGATACATGGTAAAGAGAAGGTACTAAGAAGTATATTGTGACCAGGTTACCAGAACCAAATATATTTCATTTAGAAACAAACACCTTCGAGTCAAACTTTCCCTAAATAATAAATATTTGTGAGTGTATCTGAAAAAGCTTATTAAACGTAACGAATCTACGGAACTGAACGTCTTGAAGCCGAATTTTTAGGTGCTGCATCATTATTCTTACTCTTGCTAAACACAGTTTTCCAGGTCTCGATATGAACCGCACGCCAATGACAGAATATGATAAGTCCTTAAGACAAAGAAGATGACAGAGAAAAATAGTATACGACATCTTAAATTCGAAAAAATCAGACTTCACAAAAAGAAATCCTCGTTCGACATCATTGTACAATTGACCATTAATGAACAAACTAACATCGCAACAGTGTTAAACAAGAAATAGATTATCGAACACCTTATTGGTAATCGCTAATCTATGTTTGCTTTTATCTACTACTTTACAGATAATAACATTATGAAAATGGATTATCACAACTAGATATTTACATGCGAATTGTTAAATGAAATTTAGTTACCATAGACGAACTAATTAGACATACCGGTTAGCTCCATTCATATTCATGTACCATTCATTCAACTGTGCAAATGTATAACGAGGCATAAATTCCTTCAACAAATGATACACTACAGTCTCTACACTGTACTCGAATAAACTGACCTACGATATAAAACGGTAAAATTAAGAAAAAAAGAAATTAAAAAAATGCAAGATACATGATGGATTCACTGAAGTGTTGGGGTGAAAACCTTCGAGTTAGTAAAGAGTGACGATACATTCATGTCGCTAACTGCTGTGCTGTATTGCAAACCGTCTTTATCTAAAAAGAGTGGATCACTGAAGTTATAAACACTGCAAAATCTTATGCTTTTCGGTTTGATTATGCATTTAAATATTAATGTCTAAGTTTGATAAGTTCCGGATGAAAAAAAGTTTTTTAGTATAATGTAGCTTTCGATAGTTCTACAAAGCATGTCCCAAATGAGTTGGTACGGCAGAGAGTTGGGAGAGTTTACTCTCCCTGTCAAACTGTTCACATACGACTACGTGTATATACCCACTAGCAAGGAATCCTTACTTACTTGCTGACTTTTCGTGTGCGAGGGTGTTATTTGAGAAATTGCAAGGAAGAAAAGAGAACGTTCAGCGTTTAAATCGGATTAGCGGGTATGTAGGAGATTTAGAAAACCCTGATTCGAAACCAATAGTGAACATAGGCTCCAAGATACTAAGGGAACAAATGGTGCATGAGTCTATATTCATGTTCATCGGCTACCATGGGACTGCATCTCCTTACGTTGCTCCACTGCTTTGTGAATTAGGCTTTTGGGTTAAAGGTTCGAGGATTGGCCCCCTATGAAAACTAACTGCTTCGGTTTCGACACCCAGGTAGTATTCCAACCCTCACACAAATCGAATGATGAAGTGTGGCGCATATACATTTGGTGCCTCCTTGTACCAATGTTTATGTGTTTAAATAAAAATAAAAACAAAAATTCTACCATAAGTCCTTTCTTATTGACAGTTTAATTGACAAAATACACTCAGGCACATAAAGTAACAGAGACAAAGAAGAAAGATATCACTAAATCTTACTTCATGCATTAAAATCCTCCAAAAACATAGAACAACACGACCGGGACAAGCGAATGGACCTCCAGTACGTCCAGCAGCTGAATCACATGGCCATATGCGACGATAATTATTATTAGCGTTATTAGCATGATCCGACTGTTTGTTTGTTATTATTGTGGAATACAACGGACTGCATGGACAATTACATAGGTCATTTAGATCATTAACAAATTCTTGAGTATTAAAATGCCAAGGACTGTTTCTTTCAGTGAAAATACAACTATTAATACTGCTGTTTGTAGTAGCGGCAGACAATGAAGATGATGTTGGTGGTGGTGTTTCAACTATTTTAATGCATTTAGCAATACACTGATGACAATGAGGACAGTTTATAATGTCTGAAAAAAAAAATTTATACACATATACGACGGTAAAACTTCACAATGATAACTAGTGATAGAATATTGTTGTCAAACTGAATGATTGATTTTGTTCAAATAGCATTTTCAGAGCTGGGTAGTTTTAATCATGACGCTATCATCATTAACTTCCTAGATGACCTGACCAACACAAACTAAATCAGTTATATTTCAACTAATTTTGAATCATTTCGCCCAAGGGCTACAACTACTGATTACTATTATCGTGCAGAATTCAAACTAGTACTTCACATCTACTGACACGACTCAGATTGACATTTGGTGAATTTATGGACTGATGTTGCATATTTGTTGGGCAGGCCCTAGCTTTTTCTAAGTAGTTCGGTTAAGATATTGCAATTTCCAACGGTGGTTAAGTATGTGTAACACATTTCTTGATCGAATCAATTGATGAAGGTCTATAACCTCATGAAAAAAACTTGCCCCTTTTACATTGCGTTCTAAGACTAACCTCAGTATAGTTACTCGGTCGTCTTATAATGCATGATTAATGATTGAAGATTTCTGTGGTTAAGTACTGGTAGTACTACAAATATCTTAATCAGTTTGCAATATAGTGCGTCGATTACCCTATTCAATTGGTTATATCTATTTCATTTCCAAAATGTTTGAACTCCACGATTTACGACGAAATAGTTCACCCATACTCCTGAGATTAATCGCTGACATTTTCGCCATTGACTATTATAAAAGTATTAAGTGTATATATTTCCCACATCATACACTGACGTATATACCACTATACTCTCTCTCTCCTACCGATGTATATTATGAGTAGTAACAGTTATTTCTGCTTTATAGCTGTGACATATGGCCAGTAAGAATAGAGGATATTCGTAAGTTACTAGTATTCGATCATAGGTGTCTTCGAAACATTGCTCGTATATCCTCTGACCACCGGATAAGTAACACAGTTGTTAGGAAACGGATACCAGGTAAAGAAGGTAAATCAATTGATGAAGTAATGACGGCTGAGACATGTGTTACGTATGCCCAACCACCGACTGCCCCGACGTGCGATGTTCAACGATATAGTAGTAGGTTGGAAGAAAGCTAGGGGCGACCAGACCAAAACATGGCACAAGTCCATGAAGTCACTGACAAGTGGTCTGAGTCATGTCGGTAGGTGTAGACTACCTGGTTGGGATCCGCGAGATGATAGTATCCAATGGTTAGAGACCTTGAATGACATGGCTCAAAATAGTTTGCTATGGTGAGCGCAGGTGCATCTACTCTTTGTGTTCTCCCAAATTCTAATCTTCTGAACTCTTCACGTCCCTTCTTTTTTTCTCTTTCTAAATTTATTTCACTGGATTATACTCTATGAATAACATCTCCAAACCCTAATATTTCCGATTACTGCTTAAACTCTTATCTCCTCTACTACTACGGGATTTGAATCGACAACTGTATCTCTATTCTAATATGGTATGGCAACTCGAACTGATGTACGTACGTACGAAGTTCTACGTTGTTACTGACTGACTGACTGATTGATGGTGATAATATGGAGTGTTTTCCAATAACACTATTATTGTAGGTTCTAAATAACCATATAAGATATTCGTTTGAAATGATATCATATAGAATTATAATAAAATAATTATACTCTTACTGATTTACACTAACCTGATGCTAAACGCGATAATTCTCTAGTAAAGGTGCGTCGTCCAAGATGATTGGCACGTTCAACAAGATAACCCCATGAAAAACGTTCAATGTCATAACCAATCAATATTTCAGGGTCAAATCTAGATGGAAATTAAAGTTTTATTTTAAAAAATCAATTGAATAATAAACATTTACCAGTTACAAAGAATTATTGATATGCATTATATTTGTAACATAGTTTACAGCAACGGATTGATCTAAGCTGGATAACCAATAAAAACCAAAGAGTATTGTGTAGTTGTTTTGTCCTGTTATGGAACTATTCAAAGGTGTACATCCATAATCTCACTGAGAATCGAAACGAAGGTACTTCAGTCTCACAAAGAATGATTAACCTCTGAGTAGTAATCTATATGTTGGCCTACTTTTACTTCATTCATTACGAGGATTTTTAATAGTATATGACATTGAGGATATCATTACTGCTCAACATTTTTTTAGATGATACTTATAAGGATTGATCGTCTAATATGATATGATCCATTATATTAATGGATGATTTTGAGATCCCCTCAAAAATTTGATAGACATGAGTTTATCGTCAATAAATGATCTGCTTTGTTGTTTAGTTCAGTTATTACATAGTGAATTTATTAAGTTTAACAGCTATATGTTTGTTTATTTATTTAAAGGACTGCCCATCTATGTATAATAACGAAAAGATCCATGTTGAGTTTCTCGTGATACAGTATGGAAATGAGATAAACCACTTGACAAGCTTGTGAACATTTATCGATTAAGGTAGCAGTGAGATGTGGACTGTATGAGCATAGTCACTGTCCATTCCTAACATTCATTATGCTCAGTATTGGTTGTAGATTAACAGAACCCAAACACTATCTCATTCTTTTATAAAGACAATGATTATAACTCTAAATCAACAAAGTTTAAAAACAGATCAACTAGACATGGTCTTTGAAATTCTAATATTTAAGAAGTAGATAACCTAAGTACCATAAATCTTTGCGATCACGAGTCAATTGAAGCCGACCAGTGTTTCCAGGTTTTCGATAGTTGCCTAGCTTCAACTATTGAAATTAATATATTATTCACAAAGAAACCCTTCCGATACCAATCAGCATATGTTTCAAGAGGTATTTCCTGGAGTTCTGATGAGAAGCAGTGACCAGTGGAGTGCAACAAGGTCTGTTGTGAGATAGTAACTCACTGAAGACAATGATGGATGTGTCGCTCAATTTCGTGGATTAGTTGAAGTTAGACATTAACATCATTGGATGCCAGCCAGATCAGTGGTCTAGACGTTAAGCGCTCGCGCGTGAGACCGCCAGGTCGTGGGTTCGAATTTTGCGAGGCGCGATCATGGATGCACACTGCTGAGGAGTCCCACAATGGGACGAAACAGCCTCCCAGTGCCCCCAGGCTTTCCATGGTCGTCTAGCTTGAATTGACTCATGATCTCAAATATTGAAATTCTAGAAATCTTAAGCGAATGCTTGTTTTAAAAAATCATACTGTGATATACGCTACTTATAAAAATAGAAATAAGTAGGAAGTAGCCGGAATTGAAAGCAGAATGCTTACCATCAGAAGAGTGAAAGAACGAGAATAACAAGAAGACGAAGAAGGGGAGGAGGAAAAGCAGAAAGCAGTCAAAATAACAATAGGATTAGAAGAATGATAAAGTATGTAAAGGATAACTGAAGAAAGATATGCAAATGATGCATTTAATGTAAAAATCTTCATATTTATATAAAACAATGAATTGGCTTTACCTTATCTAAGTTTTTATTCATCACGATACAACTAAATTTTATACTTATATTAGTACTAAGCAAATCATTTCATAAATATCACATGAAACAACTACAAAAGACAATCAATCAATATGATCCCAGATAAAAATCCATCTTAAGTTACTGTTATAATTCTCTCTTATAACAACCCAGCTATTCCTGTTGCTTAGTATTCTTGAACACCAATTAACTGGACAAGTCCCCAAATCAGAACACGGTTAAACAGCAACGAAGTTATAGGTGAAACTATAATTTATGGACGACCTTTGAGCGACGTTCAAGTGATCACCTAATAACTAGGACCAAATGAAGGTGATAAAGCAGTTTGAAGAATAAGGATTATGATTTACAATTGATGGACAAGGTTAAGAATTCGATTTAGAGTTTTCATCACGAACTAACATCAGCTAAAATGTCAAGACGTTATTTAGCCAAATGAATAAAGAATTTCGCGCTGAAATCCAAGACGTGTTATCTTATACCTTATTCGTTCATCCACAAATTATAGTCTCGCCAAATTATATTCCAAATAACAAGGGTAGATGGAAGTAAGAAGCACAATAAGAGAAACGTTAGTATATTTATAGTTTTTTTATATGAGAAGATTCTAGTCTTCTCCAAATATTGGCAAGCGCTGATTGGCTGATTCTTATCCAATCAGCGTACACCAACACTATTGTGGACAGAACAGTCATATGTATTTACTTCCAATGGTTGAGATCATGAGTCAGTTGAAGCTAGACCACCATGGAAAAGCTGGACGGCTGTCCAGTGCTTCCAGCTTTTCCATGGTGGTCTAGCTTCAACTGACTCATGATCTCAACCATTGAAATTACTATAATATCCACAAAACCCCTACTGATATATATACTTACGTTTGAATTAAATAAACAATCCAAGATATAAGATTCCATTCAGTTGAACACCAAATGATACAAGGAATTATATGTTGTAATTGATGTCTATTATTTCCATAACCATAATTTGTTAATCCATGACAATATTTATTAAATGATTGTTTAAATAATCCGATATTTGTAGTATTAGATAATTCAGAATGAATTAAAACAAATAAATTAGTTCGATGAGTATTATCGGTTGATTCTATTGTAGATGATTGTTGTGGATACAAAAAACTAAGACAAGCAACTTGAATAGGATCAAAAGATGGATCTGGAATTAGACCACATTTTAATAATGATTTTTTGGTTATTTTCGATTCTGTTTGATTAGATGATACAGTATGTGATTTTGTTAGACGACTAGAACAATGTAATTCTAAGCTGGCTACAGTTGTATGATCCACCTGAAATTCCAATAAAAAAAACATTCAAAAAAAGTTGTAGAGTAGTAAAAAGATGTTTGGTAATGAAAACTGATAAAGGATAACATAGTAACATCGAATGTCCGGCGCTCTAACTGGGTTGGTAGATATGGAGGATCTATCTAGGGGAGTTGGAAAACCCTCATTCCAAACCAATGGTGAACATAGGCTGCGGGATCTTGAGGGAAAAAACGGCGTACAAACCAATCGTCGGTCACCAGCTACCATGGGACTGGATCTCCTTACGTATGGTATGATACTGTCTGGTCTGCCAAGTATGTCTGAAATGCATAATTCATACAGTGGAAGCTGAGATTTGTGTTCTTCACTCACCGACAGGACCAAACGAGAAGAACTAATTAGGACTGTAGGCTGCTCTTGCTGATTAACGTGTCAGTGGTTTGGCACAGTGCCAAGGTTGTATAAGTCGGTGTTCAGATTGGCGATCCTATCATGTGATAAAGTCAAAACAGTTATCATATCTCACGTCACAACGACAATGAGATGATGATAGTAACAAGATGAAGAGTGGAAAAAATTGCAGTAGTGATGACAGTAATAAAAATTAGTCATTAATAATATGGTTTGAAAAGATGGAATGAAAAGGTATTTGCGAAGGAATACTGGAACATAACAATAAATCAAAGTGTTTTATATAATAAAACATTGACGTTAGAAGATGCAGTTTCATGGTAGCTGGTGACCAACGATTGATTCATACACCATTTGTTCCTTCAGGATCCTGGAGCCGATGTGCACCATTCGTTTGAAATGAGGGTTTTCCAACTCTCCTAGATGGACTCTCAGTATCCACCAACACGGTTAAAGTGACGAACATTCGCTTTTTGTCCTCTTAATTTTGTAAACGACACCCTTGCATCGAGAAGGCAATGAGTAGGACTTCCCTATTATTGGCTGTATACGAGTGACCATGCGAGAGCATTTCGAGAGGGAGAGAGGACTCTCTCTAACCTCAGTCGTATCAAGGAATATTAAAAAGAGCAGCAAACAACATCAACGGTAAACAATCACTGTATCAGAATTAATACATACACAAATGTATACAATTTATCATGATTGCATACCTGAACCGATGAGAAACAACGTTGATTAGCACCTTGATATAAAACGCTAACAGAATTACCAGTTGAATGTTGTGTTGTATCAATAGATTGTTCATTATCCGGTGGACATAAAAGTGTTTGATAATCGTCATTGATATTTTGTTCATTATTAGTCGATGATATTAGATTAACAGCTATACACTGTAAAATATTACATAAGAGAACCATTTTATAATTAATGTATTATATAATTATATTTTAATTCTAAACTGAAGTTAGTACAAAATAACAAATAATAATGATAAGAGGATAACGTCGGGAATCGGAAGCAGACATTGCCCAGGATAGAGTTCGATTGGGAATCCTGGTGGGAGGTCTATGCTCCTCCACGAGGGGTAACAGGCGTAAGTAAGTAAGTAAGAGAAAATGAATGGAACCCATTAGTTGGACATAAATTGATTACGATCATTAATGTAGCAGGTATGCTGAGGAAACCGTACAAATCTAAATAAAATAAAATAGAACCAAAGGTCTAAGATGATAAGATTATTTGGTCAGCCTAAAGTCATCGTTCAAATGATCACCACCTTAACGTTTTCGACATACTGTAAATACGAATGAATTGCAAGGAACATTATTCAGTAAACAAAGATTTCGACACAGCTTGCCCCTAACATCTGGCTTATTAGATAATTCATATCTCATGATGATAATATAGTCATTAAAACCATTATATTGCCGTTCATTGAATACACAATTCCAACTTCAAACAATCCATGACAGTGTGACAATTATCTAACACCAATGGTAACGACTGAAATGACTGGACTCCCATGATTACAGCTTACACGGTCGTGGGTGCGCACAATTAGAGAGTACTATACCAAGTAGAAACAGTCGTTGAAGGTTCTCTAGTTCTCAATGATGTCCCGATTTGAATTAACATAAGATGAACAACATCTACAGAATAAAATGATCTCCATAAAACTATTCAATTTAGAAAATAAAGTTCAAAAACAGACAGATGGTAGGTGAGTGAACTGAATACCAATATTTTGTATTGTAAACTCTTTTTGACCTTTCGATGCACTGTAGAGTTGAATCGCCTAGTTTATTCATTACACTGAAAACTTGATACAAGTGATCCTGTTACTGAAGGTTAAAGAGTACACGATTACTTACTGATAAGTAGAGACCAACTAGAGTGATCTAAGCTACTTAACGACATCTTATTTGACTGTGAGGTTGAGTTTCAAGTGTCTAAAGGATCTATAAGAACTTTCATCTAAATTTGATTGAATAATTTCACAGTATTTGGGCGCCAAGTTAATGTGAAACATTAAGAAGTAAGAAGGTATTTGTTAAAATCTCAGTGAATGAATATGAAGTAAATCCAACGTTTTGCCTGTCAATCTCGACCAAGCTTTTTCAGTCATTTACAGGATCTTTTATATAATATTCACGCTTGTGTCAAACAAGGGATTTTAAATGACCATCTCATAATTTTAATCAAGAACTTGAAGAAATTTAAAAAGTATTTAGACTTCGAAATACAGATATTACCTGTGGAAATAAGTCATTCGAAAGGTTGATCGCTTTATCATTTTCTGATTGTGAATCCGTACAAACGAAATCTTCCTTCACAACTTTTGACTTTTTAAAATCCTGTGATGTTTTTGATTGTTTAAGCCACTTATTTACAACCTCTAATCTAGGTGCTGGATATACTGGACGCCAAAATGGAGTAGAGGAGAGTGAAGATGATGATGTCTTTTCTGATTGAATTGTAGATCGGTGATCCATACCACTAAACGGCGATAATTGTGTTTGTGAACAAACACTTAGTTTATCTGTATATAAACTGGAAGTATATGGTGAACATGTGGTATCTTGAAAATCATGATGAAATGAAGAAAATAGAGGTTGTTGTTCAGACAAAACAACTGATGAATAATTCATTTTTGATGTTTGTGTCTCTGAATTGGCTATCATAGTATTTTCAAGATCTGAAAATTCTTCAGGGGGTGTTAAACGTCCTGATTGTTGAAAAGATGTTTCAGCTACCTCAAAATGTGATGGTAAACGTTCAAGAAGGACAACAGGATTTGATAGATTATTACTATTAGACTATAGAAAAGAAATTTGAAAAATTAAAATGTTTTCGTTCAGATGCAGTGATCAGAGCAAAACATTTTCGTTAAAGGAAAAAAAGATAGTTAAATCGATTGGTACATTACAAATCCATAGTTGTAATTTTAAAGCCAATTAGCTTTCCTGGCAGAAATATAGCAAATAAATCAATTATGTGGATTTGTTTTCATGATTGAGATGTTTAAAAAATACTGGATCTAAGGGCCCGGGCGTCGCACCTGCAATAGGTATACCTTACATGAACACCGGTAACATGCGCTTTCATGCATACATCCCGTGAAATACACATAGGAATACTCATCCCTACACGCATAGTTGCTACTTTCACAACTGGTACTTCCATTTTACCTGAATAGAATTGGTACGCAGACTTTCGCCTACGAACTTCATGGTACACACATAGGCATAACGCCCTAAGGGAGGGTTGATGTTCATTGCTCCCTTTCCCTTGATTCTCAATCCATTTTTATTTGATTAGGACATAGGGCACGTTGTGTAGTTTGATACGGTACAGGCAAGCCCTGCACGTATCCTTTGCATAGACCTATATATAATTACACAAACCGGGACTCATACAATTCATATACATATAGATAAACATAGGGCATTCCTTTACGATTTTAGTGCCTCGAGGTTTGGGTCTACGATTAATCCAGGCTACAATAGTGATGGATTAATCTGAACTCAGCATTCCTTCATCAATTTTTCTCATTTCCCCTGACATTTTATGACTTAGTGTGTCACTTCTTAAGAGTAAATAAACAGGGAATGAAATAAATAAATGATCAGGTTATTTATTTATTTATTTAATCAGAAGAAGTAACTTACACTAAGTCATGAAATATCAGAAATCCTAGTTTCTACTAAAAGCGTTATCAAGGAAGTATTATTATAACCCCTAAATGCCCTGGTACGGCCGAGAGTGGGGAGAGTCCGCTCTCCATCTCGAAATGCTCTCCCATGGCCACGCGTATATAGCCTCTGCCAGGGAAGTCCTACTTACTGCCTTCTAGTGGCCGGCGTGTTGTTTACGAAAATGAGTGGACGAAAAGTGAATGTCCGGCGCTTTAACCGAATTCCAAATCAATGGTGCACATGGGCTCCAGTATCGTGAAAGAACAAAGTGCGTATGAACCAATTGTTGGTCACCGGCTTCCATGGGACTGCATCTCCTTACGATGCTCCACTGCCTTATGGATCAGACCTTCAGGTCGAAGGCTCGGGGAGTGGCCCCCTAAGAAAACCACATGCCTCGGTTTGGGCACCCGGGCAGTATCACAGCCCTCACGCATATCGGATGAGATTTGTGTGGCGCATATGTATTTGGTGCCTCGTTGTACCAATGTTTATGTGTTAAAATGAATGAATAAACAATAAATTATATTATTACCAATATCCCACCCAATGTTCAATCTATTTGAAATTATCAAGTTTAATCTTCATAATCCTACTAATTAGCGCTTCTGTTAATTTCGTTCTATGCTTTCAATGAAACGATTAAGTGATGTATAAAATCCTAAGACCAAAAAAGTAGATTTATCTAAAATACGATACTACTTATGACAAAATAAGCGGGATCTTTATAAACCCTAAGGCGCTTCCTGCTTCGGTTTGGCACCCGGGCAGTATCATAGCCCACACACAAATCAAGTGACTTGTGTGGGGCATATGTATTCGGTGCCTCATTATACCAATATTTATGTGATCAAATAAATAAACTAAGGCGCTTACTGATTCAGTAGACAATCAAAGAAAAAGTTATCTCTGCAATAGTTGTGTGAGAATCGTTAGCAAAAACATATGATCAAGTCGGTAATAGACAGTTGTTATGTCAGTACCACAAAACCAATCAACAATCGAAATGCAAACTAATTACATAGACAATGGGAACTGTTACGAATTTAAAGTAGCTGCTAAAAGTATTAAGAAGCGATAATTACAATAATAAATGGATTCAACGGCATAAATTCGTGTGAATTTTTATGCAGTAACTATATGCTGATCTCCCAAAAACGACTGAAAGCGGCATTAATTACTAAATATTATTAATATCAGAAGGGGTTTCGTGGAGATTATAGTAATTTCAATAGTTAAGATCATGAATCAATTGAAGTTAGACTACCATGGTAAATCTGGAAGCACTGGGCGGTCTTCTCGTTCTATTGTGGAACTCATCAGCAGTGCGTATTCACGATCCTATCTCGCGATATTCTAACCCAGGACCTATCAGTTTCGCGCGCGAGCGCTTAACCTGTAGACCACTGAGCCGACCGGCCACCAACGGTGTAAATTTCTAACTTCAACTAATTCACGAAATTGAGCGACACATCCATCATTGTCTTCAGTGAGTTACTATCTCACAACTGACCCGGTTGAACTGATAGGTCCTGGTTTCGAATCCCGCGAGGCGGGGTCATGGATGTGCACTGCTGAGGAGTCCCACAATAGGACGAAACGACTGTCCAGTGCTTCTAGATTTACCTTGGTAGTCTAGCTTCAATTGATTCATGATCTTAACTATTGAAATATTATTAAGTAATATAATGTAGTACACAAAAAATGATCGGATAGGATAAATGGAATGATAAGATATACGTACGGGAAACTTTTTTTGCGAATCTTTTTAATACTACAATTGATATTATCGTTATACTCACCTATTTATTCCTCATGTTTTTTATTAACTTCTATGTTTTACTTAGGAAAAAAACCTTATTGAGACCGACAAAATTCCAGCTTTTATTAGCTGGATGATATTTATAAGTAAGAGTAAAATTGGTGATAAAACAACTTACTACTGAATAGTTTATTACAGTAGAAGAATGACAAGTTGTTGAGTTGTTAAGATCAGTGAGTAAGTTTTCTTCAAAAACAGATTGATTTTTGTTTACAATTGAAGTTGATTTGTTCAATGAAACATTATCAGTAGAAACACTAGTATCAATATCATTCAATTGAAGGCTAGATGAACTAAATGACGATATAATTGATGTTGTTGTACAAGTACTTTGTGTATTCGTAATTTGAGTAGTTGAAATGTGTTTTCTCGGTAAACGTAGACTAAGACGTCGACGTTTTCTAGGACGATTTCTTTCACCTTTAGCTTTAAGTACTATTATAGTTGAATGGGAAGAGAATGTTAAGTGTCAATAAGAAAACATATCATCGAATTACTAAGCTAATTAACAGAGTCAATTAATGAAAACCGAAAATGTTTTATATTGTAAGACACTTTCCAACAATTAGTTACCATTCTAAAAAGAAAATATGAAAACAAGCAGTCACAAGGAGAGTTGCAAGTGTTGACTAGAAGTTGTGGTTTTTCAGTAGAAATTTTGACGAAGAAAGTTGAGCATTCTCAGCGTGAAAAATTTTGATTATCAGCAAATTATTCATCCTAGTCTTTGTCAGTGTCCTATCTTGTTATTTAGGTTCAGTACGGTCTATTATGTTACGGATCTCGGGATAGAAATGATTGAGCTAATCTATTATGATCGGTTCTCTTTGGAAGATGTTAATCTTTCCAATAAAATTTGACCATTCTTGAGATCGCCTTAGTAGTCAGATTCACAGAATCTACATTCGTCACGCCATTGTTGGCGTGGAAGAATATCGAACACAGAACAAAAGTAATTCAATGTTTTATGTTTCATATGTCTTTTCTCTTAACATTCTATTGTAGTCGGGTTGCGCTCATATTTATTGTTAACTATGTCGAAGTGTTCAAATATACGTTTGACATATGTGTGAGACCGATATTCAAAAAACAACAATTTTTTTAAAGAACGGTTCTATTGTAGTGGACGCTACTTACAGGATTGTTTGCAAGTAGTATATAGCGGAAGGTGACATCAAAGTTGCAACAATTGTCAAATCGAGCGAAGAGTTTCAGCACATCGAGAGCGCGGTTTCAGCAGAAGACTTTGAGACCAGAAGAGAAAACAGTTCGGATGACAGAACACACAGAAAGATGCACATGAACAATTGAAGACTATGTATATGTATTATGTAAATACCTCGTAACTTCTCACAACAAATATACATTCTTCCTGCCTATTGTCTTCTACACTATTATTAAGAAATATACATAACTTGGTTACAAACATCAACTTGTGAGGCACCTGTGCACCTGTATGCGTGCAAAGACGAACGCTCCCTGTAATTATGACATAAAGGGTAATCACAACATACGATAGCATGAACGACAATTGGTAGTAGTGTCTAGTGTTAACAATTTATCAACAACCGAAATGGGGACTAACAGCACGTAAACATTGAAACTGTTGTATTTACACGAAGATCCAAGGAATATACAAAACCGTAAACAATTTTTATAGGGGTTAACAAAAAGCAACTGCAATAATAAATACAGTAAATGTTATTATTTGTGTAAATACTTTAGTATATTACTCAATAAATAAACGTAAGTTACACCATACGCTCAAACATTATTCGAAACCCCGCCTGAAGCCCCTCTGGGGCTGCTGCCAGTTCCAATTCTGTATAAAGGAAGAGGGTTGGGTATGGGGTTAGCGACCCCTTCCCGTTAAACACTAACTCGCTAAAAAACGATAGTACATACACCAACATACAAAAAAATGAGTTGAATAGGGAAGAAACAAGGACAGAAAAGGAGGACGGGCTAATTTCTGTTTATCGTGCATACAACATATTTTCTCAAGATAGTCAAGAGTCTACTGACAATACAATCTTCAAAACTTTTAGATTATTATTCTATGAAGTTGACTTTTAAGCAACTCTTCCAATTTCAAATGGGAATTCATGATTCAGTAGATTGTATAATGAAATGTATGTGAAATTAGGGATTGTTATTTTACTTATAGTTTGTCTGAACTTTTACAAAGCATCAATTATATATGATTATTACAAATAGTACTAAATAACATGACTAACCAGTAGTATTTGAAGAATAAGTACTTGTACTACTACTCTGATTATCACCATCACTATCAGTGTGAAATGTATCCACGTTTCCATCGACTTGAGGTATACAATTACTGAAATGATATTATTCAAATTAAGATGAAGGACAAATAAGTAGTATGAATATATATTAAAATATTTTATCATAATAATTAATAATATATCGCTGTGAAGTGATTACTCTATTGTCACGAGCTTAAATGGTCATAAATCTAAGTCTCTCTCATTCTCTTTCTCTTAAACTAAGTCAGAAGAGTTATTAATAGTTAAATGATAATTAAATTAGTTTATGTTAAGACGAATTTCATTCGATAATAATACGTTAATTACATGTGCTACGTACAATTTATTGTTCAGTATAGGGGTTATGGAGATTTTTATGTTTTTGATTGAGATCATGATCGGTACAATGGGAGATGGTCGGGCAATTTCATGGATTGGTTGAGGTTAGACATTAACACCATTAGACGCCGGCTCAGTGGTTCAGTAGGTTAGGCGCTCACACGCGAGACTGAAGGACCTGGGTTCGAATCCCGCGTGCGGGATCGTAAACGCGCGCTTCTGAGGAGTCCCACAATAGGACGAAACGGCCGTCCAGTGCTTCCAGACCTTTAATGGTGGCCTAACATCAATCGGTTTATGCTCTTAATCAAATACAATTTAATGATTTAAGATGAAATTTGATCGGAAATATGAAAAAACTGATGGGCTTTGAGCTCTTGATGGTAATGGTGTGCGTTACTTATATCGACATAAGTAGTATATAACGCTAGTCGGGAATAGAATGTCTGGTAGCAGAAGATTGAACCGGAACAGAAAGCAGTTGGTATGGAAATGCCGTAACAATGAATTCTGAGAATGGTTTTTCTATTTTATTAAGTAATTCGGTAATTTTGTGTTAAATATAATCGGTTGTCCTCATCTATGTTCTCCTTCACTACGGTAGTATTTCACTAGAGGCACAAACTGTCAAGTCAGATAAGAAATGATCATTTAATTAGATCTCATTTAAAAAAACAAAATTATATTCAGGTCTAGCGATCGTATGCGACGAGTAACAAATTATTAGAATATGGTTAGGGAATATTTGGAAGTATTTTGAACTTATGAACTATAACTGGATAAGAAATTTTCGGAAACACCCCTTTGATATGTTTAGCGTATAAGTTATGTACCACATACCAGTAGCTATAGTATGGTTTTTGTTCTTAAAAGATGGGGAAAACATGTCATGTAAGCTTACCTAATGAGCAATATTAACGTAATAAAAAATTAGCAAACGAAAAGGTGAAGTAGTTTAAAGATGACTCTGTTCGTTTAACAGAGATATAGCCTGAATGATTTGAGTAGCGCTAAGATAAAATGACAAAATATTTCTTCCATTCTTGCCCTAAAGATTTGCGTTGTAAGCACTGATTGAACTCATGTTTATGTCGGTATTTCAATTTACTCAGAGATGGTGGATATGACTACGTAATCATTACGCTGAGACTTTATCGGTTATTTACCTGCGTACATGAACCAAGCTAACTGAGTAGTTAAGAAAAGTCATTAGAATAATCAGTCATTTGGTTCTTTACTGCTGAAATGGGTTAACAAACAACATACTGCTAGTTAGAAGTATGTATCAACTCACCCTGACTTTGAAGTATCACTTTCAGAACTCCAAGAATCAAAAAGTATATCTGAAACACTATCAACTTGAAAGTTAGATTTCAAAATCTTCCCAGCGACATCTGTTGGAGAATTTTCTGCAGACCGACATAAAGGTGAAAGAATTATAGGAGAATCAGACAATGTACATTCATCCTGTGCATGGAAAATTTGTTCATTCATATTCTTGTTTTGTAAAGGAGTTGAATTTAAATGGAACACATCACATGATTCCTCATCATCCTCATCGATTTCATGAAGTGATTCCAAATCTTGCGTTGGGATAAACACTTCATTAGAATGATTTATAGAGTAGAATAGATCATCACTATCCAAATAACTTCCAACAGGCTGAGACATGCACTCATCATCTTCAGTTATCTCATTTTTTGTAGCACAGAGACTTCCAACTGTTGGTTTATCTACCTCCGATTGTTGACTGCATACAAACGACAGAGCACATTGTGCTGCATTTAAAATTAAAGTTTTGTCATCATCCTGTCCTTTGTCTATACCAATGACATTGGACTGGTCGATGACTGAATTTCGACTAATCAATGTACTGTTCAAAACCTTGAAACAATGTATAATAAATATATCAGAAATCGCTTATTTCTAATTATATACACTAATATGTTAAGCTTATGTTAATCACAATTGAATCAGAAAATCTTGATGATTTGTGTTAGCTATAGCACATACTTCCTGGTGATGTCATAACGTGACAGACAGTTGAAGGGAAATACAATAGAAACGATTAGATTTTGGGCCCAACACCCAAGTTGTATAATTGACTGCAACACAGTATAGTGACCAATGACCAGTATATCTAGAAACATTACGTCCCCATGATCTGATGGAGTTGAAGATCTGGCTATGAGAACACTACTCACACATCATACTATGAGAATTCTGAGGACAATCGTGAGGTTTGCTATCTATGGAACGTACCTTGACAGCATTAAAATTAAATATTCTCGGAAAACTTGTGTGACCGGTCTTGAGTAGGTTTGCCTTAGGCTCCATATTCATGTTATTAGGTTGATAAGACCATCAATAGTAATCCAGTTAAGTTAAAACTTTCAAAACATGGTTGAATGTGATAGAGTATAAGGAAATATATAACCTATATAAATTGTTGATGAGTTTCAACACGTAACTTTAATTTAATGCGACTGACTGATAGATGTAGCAATCAATCGGTATCCTAAAACGTCAGCAGAGGAATAGAAACTCCAATATTAAACAAGGCGGATGTTACTAAAACTTCGTATGATAATCTTAAAGTGATTTTACTCCTTCGGTCACTTCATGTCTTTCTATTTTAATAGGTGTAAACGTAACCAGGTTAAAAAATAAGAACAAACTAATGAATAAACAAATAACTCATTATTTCTTACATTGTTATCAAATATTTTGTTCTTAGCCAATTCAATAGGACTACAAATCCAATCATCATCATCATCATCATCATCATCATCATCATCATCATCATCATTAGTCAATAGTCGAGGATGCTGAATATTTGTTGCATTCAACGAAGAATGAACTTCTGCAGGATATTCTACATTATTAAGCAACTGATCCAATTGTTCGGGTGTTGGTACCCATGCATCAAATTCTTCAATTGCATTGGCTAAACGACAAAGGTCTTCTAAACCAGCTGAACTTATCGTTGTAAAACTACTAACTGATTTTGTTTTAACCAGCGGTTGCTGTAGAGTACTATTAATGGGAGACTTTAAATCAATTGATTCTTGAGTATGTTGAACAGTAGCGGACAATTGAGTATTATTAACTTCTTCGGAAGCATCCTCTTTGTAATTAATGTCCAGTTTGTCGTCATTATCGTCATAATCACAATCAAAATTATCATCATCTGTTTGACTGGATTCAAGCCAATTAGAAATGTACTCATTCGGATCAGATGAATCTGAACACAAGAAAATTTAAAACATACAAAATGATCTCTATATATTAAGCTAAGTAGGAAACTGTACACTAATGTATCTATTTGCATGTTTTGGGGTTGTTTTTTTTTGTTTATTTAAAAAAACATAAATATTGGTGCAAAGGGACACCAAATGCATACACACCACACAAGTCACTTCATTCGTATGTGGGCTGTGATACTACCCGAGTGCTCAGACCGAAGCAGGTGGTTTTCCTAGGTACCCACACTCGGAGCCTTCGGCCTAAAGGTTTGATCCATAAGGAAGTGGAGCGACGTTGGGGGATGCAGTTTCATGGAAGCCTGTGACCAACAGTGGGTTCATACGCCATTTGTTCCTTCAGGATCCTGGAATCTATGTGTACCATTAGTTTGGAATCACGGTTTTCCAACTCCCCTAGGTAGATCCTCCGTATCCACCAACCCGATTGAAGCTCCGGACATTTGCATTTCGTCTTCTCAATTTCGTAAATAACAATAATGCCGCGAGAAGGCAGTGGATAGGAATTTCCTGGGGTAATGGCTGTACACGCGCGACCATGCGAGAGCATTTGGAGGGGGAGAGCGAACTCTTCCCACATTCGGCTGTACCAGGGCATTTGAGGGAGTAATGAAACTCAATTACCAAGTACAGGTTTGTGATCTCGGTTTACAGTCGCATTTTATATAATAGTTACTATTACTATACAGTTGATCAAAGCCAAGTTGAGTAAAGTTCGAACTTGTGACAGAATCGTTGGAAGCCAAACACTTTGCCACCAAGTCACCACTTTTACTTTTCATGCAGATAATTGTATAAATTGAAGATATTTTTCATTAAAAATATTATTTATTGAAAATAGTATGGGACAATTCTACAGATAACCCAAATCCCATTTATTTCCGTTGAAATAATAATGATAACACTTAACAAACACATCAATCTTTCCCCTTTAATTTTTCTAGTTGACTTTCCTATGCATTAGTGATTGAATTAGATGGTAGATGATGTAAAGAAAGTCTATTCGAATATTGACCCAAACTCGAGTGTTCTCAAACTTTAATTATCATCTCTGTTTGTTAAACAAGACTATCTTCGATAGTCTAATTATTAATACCTTTTCAATAATTTTTCTTCAATGTCACTAAGTTAGTCAGTATATGTATTAATGTGATATTCGTATCATTCATAGGAGGTAGAGTAAACATCCAATATAACAAACGGAATGGAATTTGTAAAGGTTTGTATTCCACTAACAGAACCTTCAATCTGAGCACCTAGAAATAGAAAACGTAAAGCCACTTCAAAATCAAACACGTTGGTAGGCTGAAATCAATGGTAGTATTGTGATGTATGTGCTAATTATGCTGGCAGATATAAGTAGTATGTAGCAGCAGTAAGAAGTGAAATACCTGGCAGCATAAAACTGAAATCAAAAGAACAGGAAGAGAATCGGAAAGCAATTGAACTAACGACTGAATTGGTGGAGTCGTGATGCATGTGTTATAATTTTCTCTTATTACGACCCAAGTATTGGCTAGCGTTGATTGGATAAGAATTAGCCAATCGGCGTGCAGAAACGCAATCGTGCATTGAACATGCTTTAATCCAATCTATGTACCGCTAACATCAAGGGACAACTGAAGGAAGATATGCAAATAATGTATTTAATGCATGATTTTCATATTTGATAAAATTACCGTGTAATTTTGCATAAAACGATGAATTGTTTTTCCCTATCTGAGTTCATGTTCACTACAGTATAAATATATGGCAAAATGTGTTCTGCTAACCGAATTGCAAATGGAGTACCAAGTTCGTGCAGTACAACACAATCTATTGTTTGTTAGCTAGGCGAAAAAATTGAAGAGGTAACGGTATTTTTTAAAGACAATAACAAATTAGTAGGTGAATACTTAATGTAGGATAAAGGGTTCATTTTCATATGATCATACACAAACAGATCGTTTATTGGTCACTGAGAAAGTTTCCTTTCGATCATAATCAGGACTACATATCAGTAATACTATATAGATCAGTAATTGATCGTTCTAGAGGAACTTCAAGTAACAGTAGTCAGATTTGTGATAATAAACTTTGTAGTGAAAAAAAAACAAACCGATATATTGTAGGACAAATTGTATGTACCCGCATTCCAATGCATGCTGATTTTCTTATTTAAGCACCGATATCAATGGATTCACAGTTATTTCATCAAAACTATCCCATCGTTAATTCTCACGACTGAATTATTGAGTCCAGAATAATGCCGTCCAAGTATGTATGGTTTGATCATTGTGATTACATATAGGTTATATATGATGAAAGGAGTGTTAGACTTACGGGTATTCAGCGAAAACTAACACATACAGCGAGATCCCGGAGTTATAAAACTCAAAAGAAAATTCCTAATACAATTTTCTAGGATCACTATTTGCAATGATAAAAATATACATATGTAGTGTGCCATCAGATTGTTTAGATTATAATTTGCATCCATATGAAAAGCTAATCTTATGAATACAGAGAGTGGGGAGAGTCAGCGCTCCATCTCGAAATACTCTCACATGGCCACGTGCATACAACTACTGCCAGGGAAGTCCTACTCACTGCCTTCTCGTGGAGGGGGTGTTGTTTACGAAATTGAGAGGACGAAAAGCGAATGTTCGGCGCCTTAACCGGATTCCAAATCAATGGTGCACATGGGCTCCAGTATCGTGAGGGAACAAATGGCGTATGAACCAATTGTTGGTCACCGGCTTCCATGGGACTGCATCACCTTACGATTATCCACTGCCATGTGGATCAGACCTTTAGGTCCAAGGTTTGAGGTGTGGTCCCCTAAGAAAACCACCTGATTCGGTCTGGGCACCCGAGTAGTATCAAGGCCCTCACACAAATTGAATGATTTATGTGGTGCATATGTATTTGGTGCCTCCTTGCACCAATGTTTATGTGTTTAAATAAATAAACAAATAAATATGGAAAAGAAACAAAAAATAACTTTAAAAAATATCCAATGCAATTTACCTGTACAGTTTATATCTTGTTGAAGTTCCAAAGATGTATATTGATCATAAAGTAAATTAGTCCATTGAGTAAGATAATGCATTTCACTTGTTGACAAATCAACTACACCACTCTCTAATAAATTGGAAGTAATAAGGATATCAAAAGAAAGATGATCAAGAAGAAAATGTTTGATGACATGATTAAAAATATTATAATATGAACAATTAACAACATCAAAATGTGATACGCTTACGTTTAATTGGTAATAATTCATCAGGAGTAGGCATTTCAGGTAGTCTTTCATTTGAAATGTTACATTTTGATGCACGACGCATTTTCTCTTCATGCCACATAGCTTCTAGGCCAGGATTTATAGATAAATTATCTTTAAAATATGTAATTAAAACAAAAACATGATGTCAGATGAAGTAAATACAATTAGAAGACTACTATATGACAACAAGGATAACAACATATAAGTAAATAATATAAGAATTCATACAAAATCTATGTAGGTATGTACCAACACAAGATAAGGCTTGAAAGATGAGACCATAGAATTGCGAAATATATACTATGGTAAGCGTAAACTCATTAAAGTTACTTCACATTTATATTTTCAGAACTTTCACCGGAAACAAACCTTGCAGATCTCGACGATTCAGTATGTCCCAAGCAGATATATCAACTTCTAGTTCCATACTTGTACATTTCGGAATAGAGTCTGGTGATAGAAGATATTCCCTGAATAAATAAAGAATGTTGACAAGGTTATGCACCGATAAATTAATAGCGATTAGCTTATAAAAAACTCAACCCATTATATTGTTCACTAACACACTTGATAATATAAATTCACATTATTTTGTCGGAAGTATATTTCTAAACCAAGGAAAAAAATATGCAGATATAAATTTATTTATTATGTATTTAAACGCGTAAACATTGGTATAAGGAAGCAGCAAAATAGATATTCACCACATAAATCATTCAATTTGAGTGAGGGCTGGGATACTGACCGGGTGCCCAAACCGAAGCAGGTGGTTTGCGTAGGGAGCCACACCCGGAGCCTTCGACCTAAAAGTTTGATCCACAAGGCAATGGAGTATCGTAAGGTGATGCAGTCTCACGGCAGTCGGTGACCAACGATTAGTTCATACACAATTTGTTCCTTCAAGATACTGGAGCCCATGTACACCATTAGTTTGGAATCAAGGTTTTCCAACTCCCCTAGGTGGACTCTCCGCGTTGAACATTCACTTTCCGTCTTCTCAATATTGTAAACAGTAATAATGCCGCGAGATGGCAGTGAGTAGAGCTTCCCTGGCAGTGGTTGTATGCACGTGACCATGTGAGAGCTTTTCGAGATGGAGCGCTGGCTCTCCCCACTCTCGGCCGTACCAGGACATTTGGAGACTTTTACAAATGACTCCCGAAAATTCATACTTTCTCTACTCGTGGTAACGTCTCTGACTGTGAAGCTGGGTGACACGAGATCGAATCCGCCAGGGAGCACCAGTTCCCTCAAGATTACAGGTACACCTTGCTGACGAGTGCCAAGTAGCACGAAACCCGGGTCCAGGGTTTCCTGTTGACTACCTCCAACCACCATCACAATGGAAATATGATTGCCTGATTTAGACAGAACTACTTGTGGTCGACTAAAAACTCTAAAGAGGAATAACAGCCAAGTCAAAAATATCGTATTCCTATCGAATGCAGAATAAATTCTCTTGATAAACTTATTTTAATCATTTCTTCGATTAAGATATCATATTCAGGGAACCCACAATTTACTTAGCTTACATTTTGTATACAATTCTTATTTCTTACGTTATTTAAAAGCATGAGAAAGAAGAATCGTAAGAGCGTTACATATAAAATTAGACTATTAATTCAACATTTTGTAAAAGTAGTCATGTGTTATTTTTTCATATGGTTCATCAAATACAGTCAACAAAGCCAACTAACTTTATGACTATATTATTTACTTTTAAAGCTGTTAAAGTTACAAACTTTATGATTTCTATGAGCTAAGGGGCCATCAACGCGCTTAGAATTTTCTATAACATTTATCAGTTTTGCTCTTAACAAAGTCAAAATGAATGGTATGTATAGGATAAATCAATAATAAGTCCAACAGTTGCTAAATGCATTTTTTATGTCTTCAGATTAAAGGTAACGCAGAAAAATAGTTTAACAACTCCCTGAATAATTATATTGTAAATACAGTAAAAATAACCGTTTCTGGTATCGAAGTTAAGGCTATCAATGCTAATCGACAATAAGTCAATGACTAGGCAATGAACTACAACTAGCTAGTTGTTTAATTTCCTGTGCATACGACTAGTAGAAGATATCAATTGTTTCTTCAAACAATTTCTTTGTCTCTACACGTCAGTTGCGCATTCCCAAGAGACAATTCCATATCTTGATAAATGAGATATAAAATAAGTTTATTTACATTTATCTTTGTCCAAAATAACAATAGATGAAGTAATTTTCCATGCTTTTAATAATTCAGATATAAACAGCTTAGAACTTGGCAAAAACGTGAATCGCCGCACGCTACCATACCAAATCAGTACACTAGGAGGGGGTTAACGAGACGAGTAGTCGTGACAGTCGTCTGTACTAGTAAAATAGACTAGACATCAGGAATATAATTCGGGAAAAAGAGATGAAATCGAAGAAAGGTGTGAACAATCAACAGCACTCAGGATTTATATATACAGTGAAAATGGAGTGGAGAAATTAGAATAAAAGTGCCTTACAATATGGAGGGACAAGTCTATAGTTCTGAGTTTGTGTTACACAATTACTTGAAATTATTCATGACAGTGAAGGCGAGCACATTGGGGCTGTTAGAATATTCAGACACTTAGTGATACTTGGATCAATTCCAGTTTCATTACCCACCCATCACGCAGTTATTGATTAAAGTGTGAAACACATAATTGTAGTAACTTACGGACCAAATTTTTCGGGATTCCATATATTTTCCGAGCTCCTTACCAACGACGGAAATCCTACAGAATTTGAGGCTACAAGCTATAAATGAACCTGTACACTTACTACGGAATCTGAAATACCCTGCATAAAGCAGGTTCATACCGAACAGATTATAATCCACACAAAACTACAACCAAATAATATAATTTATACGATGAAACCTGTAATAGGTATGGAATATGTGATTCATAAGTTTGAAAGGGGCGATTTAATACGACCCCACTCAGCAATATCTCGGAACAAACGGAAACCAAACTGGGGTCCACAAGGTAAAGCTTGATGAAAGGTTTTTTTGATTCATGATAACCGTATATCGAACTATACTGGGGTGAAATACGAACCTAACTTACAAACCAGATACCACGGCAGCGTCAAAAACTATGACATCTTTGACATTAAGAGTGCTAAGCTTTGCACGAATGGATTTTTCAAGGCTGAGAACAAACGACTGGACGAATTCTTGAATATCTGACTCCACATTTGGCAGCTCAACGAAAATGTACGGCAAAACCCCATGTACATTGGCACATATTTTCTGGCCTGAGAAACTTGTAAAAGCATATTTAAGTTACCTGTATGTGTTGTGCCATAAACTCGAATAATCGGGATTCGATGTGAAAAACATCTTGCAAACTTTGAATACCCTATATCCAGTAAATCATTTGGCAACGCAAAGTAATAATCTAGAGAGAATATCTTTATTGATAAACATCCCGGAGTCATATATGCTGCAAGATGCAAAATAACCGTAACTTTCAATCTTCAGCAGGAGTGCATCCAATCTGAAGATATGTTGTAATGAGGGTGTGAAGAACCCTGTCTATACTTTCTTTTATGCTGAAGGATCTGAAAAATTAATGATAATGTAAGTCGGCAGCTCGGTGGAAAAATTAAAATGTACTGCAAATTCGCTAACAAAAAGAGATCGAAAGCACTGTACATAAAAGTCTTAAATGACTTTCTTACCATATGGAAGTCAACAACACGGGTTTTCAAGGTCGCGTTATGTAACGTGACCTTTAAACACCCGCAATCATTTTGGCTTGCCTTCAGTAATCGATACAATAGGCAAATTCATAACAGCCATTTGAATTGTTCAAGTGATTATGAACGAAATAGAAGATTTTTATTAGCGATCATTCGTGTCTGGGAGCAGTGGGTCATTTATATATCTAAGTAAATACCTGGGTACATGAAATTATTATTATTATTCATGGCTTTATTCAATAAATAAAATAATCGCTGGCTAGTCAATGTGAGATTCTCCTCCGATCCCTTTAGAATATATTGGTTTATGCCAGTAAGGTATATAGGAAGTTGCTTGGAAGTAATGTACGTAGTTATTTCTACTTCATGCAAACATCGGTACGATCAGCAATATTACGGGTAATGAAAAGCTATCGATTTCTATAGATTCCGTGTCTGTGTCACGAGTAAAGCACTTACTCATATTCCGAGTCAATAGCAGCAAAGGTTTCATAAGTCATATCCTAGTCAGCCAAGCTCACTCGATCAAAGCTCATCGTAAGAAAGCCGTAAATACCAGGAACTTCAAAATCGAAAGCTATATAGTCGGTCGAACACGGGTCCAAACAACTGTTATAACTCGATGTCTAAACGCTAACATTGACGGAAGAATAGGTAAGGGAAAAATTAATATACTGACACACAAATTCAGTATTTTCTGTCTCACTAACTTATTAGTGGCTCGTGAAAGCTGGTGCGCTCTTATGGACCAAAAGTTACCTGTAGACGTAGCCTTCATTGATTTCAGCAAAGCTTTTGACAAGGTTCCGCACAACCGGGTGTTATATGAGTTAAGAAATGTCGGGTTTGGAGGCAATATATTTATGTGGATAAAAGACTTCCTAGTTGGGCGTAAACAAAGAGTTCGAGTGAACTCAAAATTATCTAGCTGGGAAACTGTGCTTAGTGGAGTGCCCCATGACAGCTTTTGGGCCAGTGCTATTCCTCTTGTGTGTAGAACTCCAACATGACCTGAAGAAATTATCTGAATGGTCTCAAACTTGGGAGTTGCCGATAAATATTTCCAAGTGCGTTGTGATGCATATCGGTCATCAAGGTACAGATACATACACGATGAATAACACTGAGCTACCTGTCGTCCAGACATATAATGACTTAGGAGTCATCGTTAGCCAAGACTTGAAGACTACTACACACTGCCGTGCAATAGCCGCCAAAGTTTTTAGAACGTTATGGTCAATACGTAGGGCTTTTAGTCATGTCAACGCTAAGACGTTTTCGAGTTTGTATACAGTGTTCGTACGTCCTAAACTTGAGTACTGCATACAAGCGACCGGCCCCTGCTTAAAAAAAGACAGTGAGCTTCTGGAAAAGGTTCAGAGAACGGCAACTAAGCCGATTCCCGGAATAGCGAAGCTTCCGTATGAAGTTCGACTGGCCAAGCTGAACCTTTTTCCGTTGTCTTATCGCAGAACTAGAGGCGACTTGATTACAGCTTTTAAATTGCTTAGTGCCAAATTTGCACCTGATGTGCCCTCATTTTTCTTGTCTTCCAAAACAAAGAATTTATGAGGACATTCCGAAAAAGTTCTCAAGCCGAGAACAAATTACTTGTCCCATCGAATCATCAACGAGTGGAACTCATTACCTCAGCACGTGGTTGAGACTCCATCCGTCGATTCTTTCAAAAGAACGTTGGATCAAATGAGGGACCACCACTGCCAGGACTAACACAGGCCATCGGGCCTCCTGTCCTTTTCAAACTGAAACTGAAACTACGATAGAGGACCGTATTTCTTCCTTCTTGGTGACGCTCACATTTATATTCAGCAAACATTGTTTGTTTGCATTGATCGTATCGAACATGACCGGATAAAATCAACCTGTTGATTGGTATCTGCGCTACTTTATATGTTAAAATGAACACTACACACGTCATTCACCTTTCTGCTTTATTGGACACGGCCTGTGATTGAAGATTATAGTGGCGTTGTGTTTTCTATTTAGGCCACTCTTAACAACATGGAATTACTAGCATGGATTTTCCTGTAACAGTATTGGATTTACACTTTCCTTTACATCGTCAGTGTCAATTGAACAGATTATTCTGTAGTTGAGTGGACTCTTCGTAGTGGTTACTCAGAAGAAGCTTATAAGTAGCATGTCAGAAGTGAAGAAGTTCGAAGATATATTTTGAAGGCTTCAGCATACACCAGTTAAAAACCAAGATCCTCAAATACAACACAGAAAACGCAAAACTAGTTACGCCTGATGAATAAACTCTGTAGGAAGTGAAATCTTCTACAAACATGGAAGCACCATAGATGAACAAGGAGGATCTGATGTAGACGTAAAGGCGAGGATCGGTAAAACAAGGGCAGCATTCCCAGAGTTGAAGAACATTTGAAACTCAAAACAACTGTCAACCATTATCAGGGTCACAGTCGTCTAGATCTACTACAACTATTAATAAAAAGGCACGAGCACTTATACACAAATTTCTACGTAAGATACTTAATATCCGTTGACCGGGTACCATCAGCAAAAACCCACTGGGGGAGAGAGCAAATTGACTTCCAGCTGGAGAAGAAATCAGGGAAAGACGTTGTGAGTAGATCGGACATACATTGAGGATATCATCAAACTGCATCGCGCAGCAAGCGCCAACTTGGAATCCTGAAGGTAAACGAAAAAGAGGAAGATCAAATTACACACTGCATCGTTAATTGGAAGCAGAAGTTAAAAGAATGAGTAGCCACTGGAAAGAATTGTATAGGAGAGAGCTGGATGGAGAATGCTGATGGGCGGCCTACGCATCTCCATGATGGGCAACGGGCGTAAGTACGCAAGTAAAGATACCGAATTCTTCGTCAATGTCCCTGTTCTAAACGAATCACAAGTTAAACAGATTTTAGTCAACTCAGAATCCTTATAGATCTTCTGTGTGATTGCTTCTCACCTGGCCTAGCTCATTTAATCTGGAACACAAACATCAGTACCTGATATATGAATCTTCATTTATATACATGTAGACCAGACCGCATCACATCGTAAAACAGAATATAACAATTATACGGGATCAAGCCGAAATTGGCTGAATGCGAGGGACTGTAACTTATAAATTGGAGATAATTTAAGGATATTATATCGTGTAACAATATCCAACAGGTCAGATGAAAGCTTGTGATACAAAGGAATAATGATGTATGTTGTCTAGTTACCTACTAATTTTCCTGTTAGAATATATTTCATGATAGTCCATGAATAATTCCTAACAGTTACCATTCATTTATACTTCGTTCGATTACAGCACCAGCAAAAATGACAACGAATGTAACACGTACGCCGTCATGGACTGCAACAGTGCGGATAACCATTCCCGCTTCCTCTTGTTTGGTTGCTTAGTTTAAGACGCAAATGGGAATTCAGCTCATCCTCAGCCACGAGTTCTCCCCCCTGAAACCTGAAGGTTTGTTGGAATCACTGTTAGAACAATATATGTGGGTAGATTTGTAGTGTGGGGTCGAGTCACGGTCGACGATGATCACCACTACAGGAAGACTACGTGGCAGTTAACCGATAAGATCTCCCGTAGGCCAAATATCAGAAGGCAGTTGATGGCTGTAGTCGAGATGTAATTGTTGGCGATCTCGTGGTATCGAAATACCGAGATCGTGCGGAAGGAGTACAAGTGCGGTTACTGAGCGTAACCGAACTCATGCAAGGTCATAATCAACAGAAGGAAGAATGTCTTTAGTACAGTTAAACAAACAAGTACAGTAAAACAACCCGTGGTACAATTGGTTATAATGATAACTGTTTCCATCAAACCAATCGTGTTCTCTTGATAAAAGTAGGTCACTACAGATTAGTCGTAATTTACGAATAAATGTTTGGTATCTGAAATGACATTTGGTTATCTTTATTTGGGTTCAGTGTTTACCCTCGTGAGATTTTGGGGGAGATAAACGTGTTAATTTCGAAACATTTCCTCTCACAGGGTAAATTTCGGGAAAACCATGCACTGTATACCCCGGGTTGAGGAAAAAGGTGATATTTCGATTCACTGTTGCCTGTATTCGCATCAAGTCTCACTGTGGACTTTCCTCAATATCTACCACTATTTCCTCTTTTTATTTTGCGTTGGTGTCAACCGACTACACCTCAATAACAGATCAGAGAAATATTTTGACGTAACACTTGGTAATATACAGTCAATACTGCGTCGTCTGTATGTCAGTAATAGTCATAGAACTTTTGCTTTGAGGAAGAAGAGGACCATGTTATATATGGAGGCTCCTGAAACAAGATGGAAATCAAAATTTCATCAAATTAGTCACGACAGGAATCTACAGTCAAATCCGAAACGTGTTTCTTTGTCGCAGGGAAAGATGTTATCCTTGGGGCCTCTTCTGCCGTACCTCAAGACAGAACTATTGTTAGCATCTCAGTCACTTAAGGCATTAATGATGTCGACAAAAGATTGAGCCAGTAAGTATAACGTACCACTATCAAAAACCATAGTTAGGCGTAAGACCAAGGTCGGTGCTAAAACAGTAAAAGAAATATATGCCGAACGAACCGCCAAACTTTGATATCATGGTCCAAAAATGTTATCTACATATGGAACTCATGCCAAAGTTCGATGTCAATGCACTTATCTATGTAACAATCTTATAGCTAGAGTATAGTTGACTCGCCATGATATAACTGCTTAATCTACCTGATCATATATCGAATCCACATTACTGTCCAAACTGGCGTAATGTGTCAGTCAGACGTATCCCCTATAAAGACCTCTTATGATAACATTAAGGTTGGTGATAGAACTTGCTTGTATGGAGAGGAGATAATTGCAACGACTATATATTCACAACTAAGCGTAGCAGTCTCTATCATATCTCCGCGTTGATTTGACCAGTCGTTGATGATCGTACTATCACCTAGTACTCAACAACGATATTGATTTAAATTTCCAACATACGTCCAATATGTAAACAATTTTCCCACTTAAAAGCGCTT